CCCAAAGGCTGGGAAGGGAATCGTGCCACTGCAGGAGCCACGGCACATCCCTCTGCAGAGCACTCAGCCCTCCTCTGTAATGCCCTTCCCTGCCTGGAATCAGGCGTGTGGACAAGGAAGGACTGTTTATCCCCTTCCCAGCTGGCTCCTCACTCAGCAGCCCAGGGATGATGCTGTGGCATCTGAGTGCCCTCAGCCTCTGCTTTGCCCTCCGGGTCCCCCAGCACCCTCCTCCTGTCACCATTCCTGCTGTCCCCTGAGGTGCTCAGAGCCATCCCAGGCATAAGGAATGGATCTCATCAGCCTTGTCACTTCCCTGCCCTGTTCCCACCTGCTGAGGCTGAGATGCAACAAGTTTGTAGGTTCTGTTACAGGGCAGCCCCTGGCACAGTGGACAAGGTGTGCACACCTTGGAGGGTCTGGGTGTCCCACAACCCCCCTGTTCTGTGCTCCTGAGATTCCCCTTCAGTGAATCACCTCCTTCATCCCCGTGGGGAGAGGCCAAAGCCTCGTGAGGGTGGCTCTGCGAGTCCCACCGGGATCGTTGTTGAAGCTGCAGGGTTGGGATCAGCCCTGGCAAGGGTGGTGGGCAGAGATCACGGTGTTATCACTGCCACAACCAGCCTTTCTGCTTGAAAGGATCTCTGATTTCTCTGCGTGCTGAAGGTCACACTCAGTTTTACAGCCACGCAAAGGAGAAGAAAGGAGCAATTCTGTTTACTTAGGGAGTCATTAATATCCCAGCTGCTGGCATGTACCGAGGCAGCAGGAACCTCCCCCACAGAGCAGCAGAGAGTGAGGCTGTGCAGCCCTTTATTATTCCATTATCAGCCAGGCAGGATTAGGAGGGCGGGTCAGGGAACAGTGCCGGCTTTGAGCAGGTTTAGCTCCTTTCCAAAGGCTTATCCTGGCTCAGTCTCACTCTCTGGACTCAACTCACTTATTCTCTACGTGGAGGGGTTTGAGTAATGCTGGAGAGAGAGTGGGCACGGGGTCATGGAGCTTTAATAGCCCAGCAGGCAAAACTTGGGAGGTTCCTTTAGCAGGAACTCATTTCATATGTTGAATTTCAGAGACCAGGGAGGGCAGTTTCTCAGCTCTGCCGACTCCTGCATTGCTCCCCAGGGAAAACCAAGCCTCGGCGCTGCTTTGGGGCAGTTCTGTTCTCGGAACAAGCCGGTGCTGGGGCGGGACAGCCATTCCAGGCGGCTTCCTGCAGAGCTGGACGAGGTTTTGCTCTTTATTTTTACCCAAGTTTCTCCCTGGAGCCCGGGTGGGGTGGCCGGAGCGTACCGATCCCAGCCCGGCAAGGAAGGAGGAGCCGTGGGAACTGAGGCAACAAATCCCTTTCTTCTTCCAGGCCAGAAATGGGGTCTGTGATGGGTTGTTGTGTCCCCCGTAAGTAATTCCACTCTGGGAGTGCTGCCCGCCGGCATCCAGCATCGCAGCAGGGATCACCCCTGGATCGGGATCGAGCCTCCCAGCCTTGCCCCAGCCAGGTGGTTCTCATTGCAGCCTCTGACTCACCTCCCAAAAATTCCTGCGCTCACATCATCGCAGGAAACCGCTACCGGGAAGTGGTAAAACCCCTGGACGGCTTGAAATTCGGCTTCCCCCAGCGAAGGGGGAGATCAAACGGCAGCCTTTGGCCTCAGTCCCTCTGACGCCAGGGCTTGTCATCGGGGGCACGTCTCGGCCAGCGAGTGGTGGGTGTGTGGTTCCTCCAGACTCAGCAGCTTTTTGCCTGGCGTTTGGGAGTGTTTTCCCTGAGGAGGCCTGAGCTCAGAAATATTTTAAAGCAAATTATCAGCTGGGAGGAATGAGCTCAGCTCGTCGGCATTGTTCAGGGCCTCCCTGTGAGCCCTGCAGTTCCGGGCTGTGCCGGCTGCTGCGGGGAGCTCAGCGGAGGGTCAGTGTAGGGGAGCAGCCCCCAACAAGTTGCAGAACCTGCCTGTAATTTAGGAGCTGCCTCAAAAATACTGAGCTCCTTGGAGGCTGAGAGAAGATGGATTTTGGGGAAAACCTGCCCCCCCTGGGTCATGGGGGCAGGTAGAAGGTGCAGCCGCTTTCCTGAGTTCTGCACGAAATCAGTGGCAGAGCCCAGACCTGTGTCCGAGCTCAGGTGGGATGTGATCCCAGTCACTCTTCTCCAGGAGATATCTCTGTTAGCTCTGTCCCCTCCTGCTCTGTGCTGGTCCTCCGTGTCAGCCCCAACCCCACGGCTGAGCGGGGCTGATCCGCAGTCCCGGGGCTGGGTCTGCTTAGAAATGGCTCCATCTCCGCACCGGCCGCTCCCGCAGGAGCTGCCTGGAAAGTTCCCACTGCTGCAGTCGGTGCCTGTCCCCCTGCCAAGCCTGCAGCCCTGCCAGCCCCGATGCAGCGCCAGCCGCGCTATTTCTGGCTCCACCTTGAGACATGTACCTTCAGCAGTGGGAACGATGCTAAAAGAGATGGATTCGGGAGGAGTGCATCCCCCTCCCGTTCCCGTCCCCGGGTGGCTGCCGGCGGACGCGGCAGAGCGGGCAGGGATGTGGAGGAGCTCTGTGCCTCCAAGGGAAACGCTGCAGTTCATCTCGCAGCAGAGGCACGTCCTCTGCACGCCTCCTTCGGGGCTGTGATGTGGCAGTGGGACCCCGAAATCCGGGCCTGCTCTGGCACCGAGAGCCCCAGGTCTCTACTGCAGCCCCCGGGGGCACGAAGGGTTATGGAAGGCGTGGGAAGCCCCCAGGCTCTGTGCTTTTCTTCCCTCAGGGTAACTCCCAGTGCAGATCAACTCCTCCAGCAGCTGGGGGCAGGAGTAGGAGAAGCCCGGGGGCCGGAGGGAGCTGAGGGAGGTTGTTGCTGTATTTAACCCTTGGCTTCTTGCACAACTCAAGACAAATCTTATCTGCTGTTTCTGCCTCAGTGTCCCCAAATTCAGGGCACGCATCATCTTGCTTAGTGAACCCAGGCTTCAAATGTACAAACCTTCTCCACCAAATGATGTCTGCAGAGTCTGGGATACCCCAGGGCTCCTCCCGGGACAGGAGCTGGAGGGATGTTTGCTCTTGAAGAGAGACTGGTGGTCATGGCTGGACTGGACACTCTGCTCCAGGGTCGAGTCCCCTTTGCAGTGAGGAAGGAAGTGGGGGGATTCTCCAGGGGCTGTCCCCCATCACGCCAGCTCCATGCCACATCCCCACGTCGCATCCTGGCACTTCCCTCCCACACACACGGCCCGAGCAGCGCCACGCGGGCGGGAATGGAGCCGATCAGGACAAACCCGACCTGCAGTCGCCTGCCCACAGCCTGGGAGCTGCTGAGCACCCTTCGGGCTGCCCTTGGGGTCGAGGGGCCTCGGTAAGGCTCTCATAATTAAGAGAGCCCCAAATGACTGGTTATCAGCACAGAGAAGGAAGTGATCCCACTTCCACGTTAGACATCACGTCTGGAGGCAAACAAGTGGTGTCTGTGTGGGCTCGGGTAGAATCAGCCTGTGGCTGTGGAGAGCAAAGGGACACGCCTGGGGCTGGTGGTGGCCACGGCGCTGGTCACAGCATGGAGTGGGCATCCAAGGGTGGTACTGCACCAGGTCAGTTTTCTGGGAAATCCCCAGAGATCAGAACTGAGATGGAAAAGCCCTGTCTGTGTCTCCCCTGCCGTCACAGAGGCTGAGCCTCTGTCAGTCCCATTCCCCCTCAGAGACAAACCTGGCCGCAGCCCCGAGCCCTTGGCATTCCCACCGTGCACAGCCCTTCCCAGCCCTTCCTGCACCCACCTCCAGCCCTGACACCTCGCGATGAAGCCACTCTCAGCCCCTTTCTCCACAGCACGAGCATGGCCAGCAGAGCCTGGACAGGCATTCCACTCCTATTTAAACCACAGGCTGGCAGGAGGAAGGGGGATCCCTGCAGCCCAGGGCACAGCGCCTTGGACGGATGTAGCATGGTGAGGACAGAGCCCAATGCAGCCTCATCGTCCCATGGCACCTGCCAGGAGCAATGGGACAGCTGCTCTCACATCCTCCCGACACGACTCATGCCTTCCTGAGCGGAAATTGGGAGCGGGTTAGTCACCAAGAAGGGTGAGGGGCAGGTCAGGACGCTGCACTCCCCGGCATCCAGCCATTTCCTCCCATGACACCTTGCTGAGGAACCTCGGAGCTGTTTACAAACGCTGGACTGTGTCATGGCAGCGCTCGGGGAAGCGGCTGAGCCCAAATCTCACCCAGAATCAGCTGCAAGTGCTGCAGTTCCCAAGCCAAAAGCATCAGGGCTGGGAGCAGGTTTTGCCCCTCTGAGCATCCCTTTGTGCCCACAGCGCCCAGGGAAGTCTTTCTGGAAAGCACAATGCTCCAAATATAGCATCTTGGCTCTCCTCATAGGTTTGCTTTGGGAAAACAAGACTCAACCATGTTACCTGCCCAGTTGGTCATCCTGTACCCTCCCTGTAATTTCTTGGCTGGTTCCAGAAGGTTTTAACAGGGACAGAGGGCTCGCTGCTAATTAAACTGCCCTAAGTGTGAGGAGTGATGCCTCCCTGAGGTGCAAGCTCAAGGTTAGGACAGAGTTACATCCATGGGGAATTGGTTGGCAAAACAAAAAAAACAAAAAAATCCTTGTTGGGTTGGGCCAGACCCCTTGGAGCCCAGCAGTCCCTTGGGAGGCTGAGGTCAGTCCTGTTGCCAGCAAAAACTGCTGTCAATGATCTTTGCCAGCTGCCATGAACACAAAGCAACTCCCAGCCTTGCTGGCACTCTCCAGACAAGTCCCCTGGGCTCTGTCCCAGAGCTCTGTGCCCCAAGGTGGGGTTCACAGCACAGCCCACCTCCCTCCACGGGGCTTCACACCCATGGCAACCTGGAACTCCCACGGATACCTGATGGCAAGCCACCAGGGACATCATCCTTCTCCGTCCTCCTCCCCGGCCGTCTGCCCCTGTCCTCCCCCCCTCACCGTGCCTCGATTTCTCCAGGCCCCCGCCTCACTCCTTTTGTGCTTGGAGAGATGCAGAAATGGTATTAAAATTCTGTTCAGTCCAACGTGGGGGCTCCGGGGACACCTGCCAGCGCCCATGCGTGCCTTGCTGGGAATGATGTGCAGGAAGTGGGGCGGGGGTGGCTGCCGGGTGCTCTGCCTCCCCTCTCCCGGCGTCACCGTGGGTCTGTTCTTTGCATCCCCACCACCGTGGGAGCACCCACGCCAGACACCCACCCCGGCAGCGCAGAACCACCCGCGGCAAACCCACGGCGTCCCTTTGCCCCCGCCCGTCTGCAGAGCCGGTTCCCCCGCGGAGCACTGCCCGGAGCGCGGGGCGGCGCTTGGGGAAACTGAGGCATCTGGCAGGGGGTGTGGGGGGTACCGGACCAGCCCCGGGACGGGCCCCCCTCGGCGGGGGAAGAGGTGGCTAGGGGGGTGGGTGGGTTAAATTTTTATGAATGGGGCCGCCCCGCCTGCCATCGCCGGGCGTCAGCAGCGAGCGGCGGCGGGCGGCGCTCCCCGGTGCCTCCCGCTCCGCTCCGCGCCCGCTCCGCCGATGGCCGCCGGCCGCCGCGCTCCTCCGGAGCCCGGCGGGGGCCCGGTGCTGCTTCAAGGCATCTTCGGCGCGGGGCCGGCCCCCGGTGCCGCGGCCTGCTCGCTGTGCCTGACGGCCCGGGAGCTGCAGGTGCGGCGTGCCGGCGGCTGCCCGGGCGGCTCGGCCGGTCCCGACGCCGCGCTCCGCCTGGCCGACTGCGTGGGCTCGGCCGCTTTCCCCGCGGCCGCGGCCGCCGCCTGCTTCTCGCTGGTGTGTTACCCGCTGCGGGGGCCGCGCTGGGGGCCGCCCTCCCGCCAGCGCCTGGAGCGGACCTTCCGCGTCTCCCGGGGTCCCGACGCCGAGGGCAACCTGCGCATCGCCCAGGCCTGGAGCCGCCGCATCCGCGAGCTCGCCGTGCCCGCCGTGCCCGCGCAGGACGGTGAGTGCCGAGCCCCCCCGCGCCCGCCCGGCTCCGCTGCCCGCGGGGCTCGCTGCGCCGGGGCCGTGCGGGGGTCGGGGTCGCGGCCGGGGTCGCTCCGCCGCCGGGCCCCACTCGGGACGGCCGTGCCCGAGCCGCGGGCGCTGCGCCGTGTCGCGTTCCGGGGACACGGGGGGGTCGCAGACCGGGGGTGACCCGCGCCACCGTGGGGTCACTCGGACACCCCCCCACTTTCGCCGAGTGGGGGGGACAGGGGCATCCCCGCTCGCAGCCCCAGGCAGGGGTTGGTTGTTTCTCTGCTCTTTAACCCTTAATTTGAAGGGGCAGCAGGGACGTGGCCTCCCTATGGGGGCCCTTTGCACCCCCCATCCCCATTGCTCCCGTTCGATAACTCCAAAGCTCCAAAGGGCAGCACGATCCAAGGAAAAAAAGTAATCATTGCTGACGCAGGCAGGACGGGAGCCAGGCTCTGTCCCCAGCAGGTCCCATCCATCACTTGGGATTTGGGGACAGGCAGATCCCCCCAGGACCCCCGTGGCCCAGCAGGATCTCAGGGCAGCCTGGCGGGGTCTGTGTTCCTGATCCTGCTCCCCTCGGGAGCTGTCATTGTCTGGGAGGGGAGGGTCCTGCTCGGGGGCCGCATCCCCCAGCTCCCGCAGGCAGGGCAGGGCATGCTGGCAGATAGTTGAACATCTGAGCAGAGATTCAATTATATGCACTACTTCATTTATTTGCTGTCCAGTCGCTCTGATCAGACTTGGAAATTAAGAGGCATGCGGTTAGAGGGATCCTGTCAAATCACATTTAGCCCAGCTCTTCCTTGCTTGGATTTTAAAATGCAGCTCTTTTTTTTACATGACCTGCAGCTACAAAACAACTTTCTGTCTCTCTTCCTAAAGAATTAAAAAAAAATCCAGTGGAATGGGGTGAGGGCAGAACCAGTTCCCCAGCTCTACTTCCAGCCTGAACTCTGCAGCTGGAAGTCTCCGAGTGCTTTCCAACCCTCGCCCTGTGAGCAGGCGGTGCGAGGGTGCTGGGCCAGGAGCAGCTCAGTGCACGCAGGGCCCTCGGGGCAGCGGGGGGAAGGAGGATGGGAGAAGGCAGTGCAGAATTTTGCAGTCACTTTCCTCGCTGAAGGCCATCAGGATTTTCAATCCTCCTCCCTCAGTTTGGGACAGAGCTAAAAATGCCCCTGGTCCACACCCAGTGCTTGCACGTGCGGCAGAGAGGCCTGTGCGGGGCTGATAAGGCCGTGCTGGGAAGCTGAGGGTGAGTCCGTGCAGAGAGTCCTGTCACCCTGTCCCCATGGGGAGGGGACCTGAGGAGCCACCAGCGATCCCATCCTGGTGCTGTCGCAGCTGCAGCATCCTCTGGGATAAAAGCCCTGCGGAATGCTGCAGCAGGGATGGAGGGATGATTCCCCCTCTTTTCACCCCAAGGGATAAACAGAAAGTTCCTCAGCAGGAATGACCCCAAAGCTGGGGTTGCCTAAAGCATGTCCCAAACTGCAGCTATCCAGGAGGGAACAAACTGCCCCAGGCTTGTGTCCCAACCGGGAAATCCAGCCCCAGGAAGCTCAGCCCCAGCCTTATTCCACCTGGCATGCTTGCTCCTTGTGCCCAGAGAGTTTCTAGAAGGATGCAAGGATGCGGTGGAGTGGCTTGGGCTGCAGACAGCAGAGCTGTGGCAGTGTGGTCCCGGCCTGAGCACAGCCAGGGCACATCACACGGGAGGATGTGGGCAGAGGGAGTGGAGCAGAGTTTGTGGCAGCAGCTGGAGCCCCTTCCTCCTGCTGACTCAGATTCTGCTCTACTCAGCATTTGAGGCTGAAAGCGACCACACTGTGCTGGGAAGTGGAATCTTGCTGGGATGCCAGGGACTGGCCGGTGTTGTGCAACAGGAAGGGTTGGATGGGTCAGGATGCTGCTGAAATCTGTTTCCCTGTGCATCACCATTGCTGGGCTCCAGCTCTGATCCAGCACCCTCCAGTTCCACCACAGGGCTGAGCCTGGTGCTGCTGTGTCCCCAGTCCCACGCTGGGATCACTCCTGTCACCACTCACAGCCTGGTACCAACAGTCTGTCCCTTGGGAGGGAGTTGTGGCATCCCTCTGTGCCCTGAGCAGGGTTTGTTTTCCCCCTCCAGCCAAGGAGCTGATCCTTGGGGTCCCAGCCTTTCCCTGCTGCCCAGAGGAGGTCACAGGGCAGCACCCACAGGTCCAGGCAGGATTTTTAGGCAAGACTGAGCTGCAGCTCCGTGTTTGTGTGAGAAACAATGTGCCTGGTTAACACTGGAGGGTTAAAAACTGCATTTAGGCTTTTGAAGTGCCTTTGGCTTTTGCTTTTCAATATCCAGGATTTTAGGGAGGAAAGAGACAGAAAAGCCCCCCCAGAGAGAAAGCAGCTGGGCTTGTGTTCAGACCCTGTGTGGGCGCTTGTCTGCATTTGCTTGCAGGGGATTTATTGCCTGTGGGGACCAGGGAAGCTCCAAAGGGCTCAGAGCAGGGTCAGCCCAGCCCTGGGCTGCTTTTTGTTATCCCTGACCCAGACTGGAGTGGCCTCTGCTCTGGGCGCTTCACTGCTTTCCCCAAGGGCAGCTGGTCCCTTTGTGTCTGGATCCCACTGATAAGGGGCTGGGGAGGGTGAGGGGGGAGCCAATGGCCCTGGGCAGCAGTGGGGAGAAGCAGCCTGGAGCCAGTGCCTGGAGCCAGCACCCAGGGCCAGGCTGGAGCCAGCACCTGGAGCCAGCCTGGAGCCAGTGCCTGAACCCAGCTTGGAGCCAGCACCCAGAGCTGGCACCCAGAGCCAGCCTGGAGCCAGTGCCCAGGGCCAGCCTGGAGCCAGTGCCCAGATCCAGGCTCAGCCCTGGGACTTTCACAGGCAGATCTTTGTTATGGACATGGTGGCAGGTCCCAAGCAGCTGGCGAGGGGACAATGAGGTATGAGGTGTCCTGGAGGGTGACAGCGGTGCTGGGTGATCCGTGGGGCCAGGGAATAATCCTGGTGGTGATGAAATCAGCAGAGCTCTGTGTGCTCCCGGGGCTGGGACAGGCATAGAGATGGGATGCTCCAGTCCCACCTCCCTCCAGGCAGCTTGTGGAGCTCATGGCCATGACTGGTGTGATGCTGGATGTCACCCAGAGGAGGTGACACATGTGGTGTCCTCCATGGCCTCGTGCTCTCCCCACCACTGTCCCCACTGTGGTGCTAGGAGGGTTTAGCTGTAGAACCCCAGCTCGTGTGTTCAAACAGCTGAAATCACTGCACGTGTGCAGATGAGGTGGGGGCACCCCCAGTGCCACAGGGGCTGAGAGGGGATTCCTGGCCCAGGATGGTGCTGGGAAAGGCCTCTGGTGTGCTGAGTCAGCAGCTCTTCCTGCTGAGTCAGCAGCTGCAGCCTCCAGCTGGGCCCATGGGCTGGGGTGGGCACCCACACCCCCCGGGCCCAGGTCACAGCTCAGGGGGCACAGAGCTGGTGGGGACATCAGAGCCAGGCTGGAGCCAGCACCTGGAGCCAGGCTGGAGCCAGCACCTGGAGCCAGCTTGGAGCCAGCACCCAGAGCCAGCCTGGAGCCAGTGCCTGCAGCCAGCTTGGAGCCAGCACCCAGAGCTGGCACCCAGAGCCAGCCTGGAGCCAGTGCGCAGAGCCAGCCTGGAGCCAGTGCCCAGATCCAGGCTCAGCCCTGGGACTTTCACAGGCAGATCTTTGTTATGGACATGGTGGCAGGTCCCAAGCAGCTGGCGAGGGGACAATGAGGTATGAGGTGTCCTGGAGGGTGACAGCGGTGCTGGGTGATCCGTGGGGCCAGGAAATAATCCTGGTGGTGATGAAATCAGCAGAGCTCTGTGTGCTCCCGGGGCTGGGACAGGCATAGAGATGGGATGCTCCAGTCCCACCTCCCTCCAGGCAGCTTGTGGAGCTCATGGCCATGACTGGTGTGATGCTGGATGTCACCCAGAGGAGGTGACACATGTGGTGTCCTCCATGGCCTCGTGCTCTCCCCACCACTGTCCCCACTGTGGTGCTAGGAGGGTTTAGCTGTAGAACCCCAGCTCGTGTGTTCAAACAGCTGAAATCACTGCACGTGTGCAGATGAGGTGGGGGCACCCCCAGTGCCACAGGGGCTGAGAGGGGATTCCTGGCCCAGGATGGTGCTGGGAAAGGCCTCTGGTGTGCTGAGTCAGCAGCTCTTCCTGCTGAGTCAGCAGCTGCAGCCTCCAGCTGGGCCCATGGGCTGGGGTGGGCACCCACATCCCCCAGGCCCAGGTCACAGCTCAGGGGGCACAGAGCTGGTGGGGACATCCCCAACAATCCCAAAACTGGCTCCTCACTGCAGAGCCAGGGATCTCCAGAGGCGCTGGGGGAGCCTGAGGCTGCTGCCCTTCCTCACTTCAGGGCTTGGGGTGCCCAGCAGCAGCCAGGGTTCCTGCCCTCCTCCTCCTCCCCCTGCCTCCCTCACAGGGCAGCTCAGTGGCCTCCCCCTGTCCCCCTGCACGGGGACCACTAGGCTTGGGGAAGGAGAGACTGGAAGAAACTGGGGAGGCAGAGGGATGGGACCCCTGCCAGGCTTGTAATTACAGCCTGGCCCTCGCAGGCGAAACCTGAGCCCCGTGGGGAGCAGGGGAAGCGGGAGCGTCCGTCTGCCAGCACAACTGTCTGTCCTGGCCCCGCTCCATCTGGGTGGATGCAGGGAACTGGGACCTGGAGTTCTCATCTCCCCACTCTGGTATGGCTGGAGTGCTGCAGGGCTCCATCCTGGGTGTGAACAACTCTGCAGATTGCAGGGGAGCTCCAATGAGTCCCTGCAGGCCCCTGTGTCCTGTCTCTGCCACCTCCCCAGCATTCCCAGCAGGGACCTCCATCCCTGCTCACCCCCATGTCCTCTGGGTAGGGATGCAGCCCAGGGAGCTTCTGAGGATGGGGGAGGGCCAGTTCTCCTTCCCCTTTTGGTTTTGGCAGATGCTGCCCTGGCTGGCAAAGCCCTCCCAGGGCAGGGCCATGACCCAGCACCCTGAGCCCCCTGTCCCCTCCAGGTGACAGCTATGGGGTGCTGCCCCGGCCCTGCCACGCGCTGGTGCTGCTGAACCCACAGAGCGGCTCTGGCCGTGCCCTTGATGACTTCCAGGCAGTGGTGCAGCCCATGCTGGCTGAGGCTGACATTGCCACCACTGTCTTCGTCACCGGTGAGTCCGTGAGCAGCTTCTCCTCCTCCTCCTTCTCCCTTCCCTGGGATCCTACCTGGGCCCTGCCACGTGGGGACAGGCTCCTCCAAGCGTCTCTGACTCTGCATCAGCACTGCTCTGGGTCCTGCAGAGGAGGAGTGACTGCCTTGCCTCCTGCATCCCTGGCTGGGGTCACCATCTGGGGCTGGGATCACTGTCGGGTGGGTGGCAGCAGGAAGGGCAGAGGCATGGAGGGTGATGCTCCAAATCTCTCCACTCTCCCCAACAGAAAGACCCCACCATGCGCATGAGAAGGTGCGAGATGAGGACCTGTCGCAGTGGGACACGTTGGTGGTCATGTCTGGGGACGGGCTGCTGTTCGAGGTGAGGGGCACCTCGGGGCTGGGCAGAGAGCTGGAGGGCCTGGGGCAGGAGCCAAGCTCTGAGTCACAAAGTCAGGCAGGGAATTGCAAAGGAGAGATGGCACCAAGCTTGGAATAAAGCAGCCATCACCTCTGTCCTGCCCTGCCAGGGCACCGTGGGCTCTGCTCCCCCCCGGCTGGACAGGGGCTGCTGGGTTCCTTGGGTACCACAGGCTCCTTCATCCCCACAGGTGGTGAACGGGCTGATGGAGCGTCCAGACTGGAAGGAGGCCATGAAGAAGCCTCTGTGCATCCTGCCAGGAGGCTCTGGGAACGCCCTGGCTGCCTCTATCAACTACTATGCAGGGTGAGTCCCAGCCCCACCGGCACCCACTGCCCCCCTGCGGGGCTGCACTGGAACCGGGCAGGGATGAGGGAAGAGAAAGGCTGTGTGTCCCTGCAGCCCAGGGAAGGGTGCTGGGATGCCCAGGGGTGCCTGGCAGGGTCTTCACCCTCCACAGGCTGGTGCAGCACAGCCCCAGCTGTGAGCAAGGGATCAATCCCTGTGTATCCTACTCCCCCCACTCCCTTCCTCTGGGCTCAGAGACTGTAAAGCTTTAACCCAAAGGACCCACTCCAGGCACAGCCAATCCCAAGGTGAGAGGGACCAGGATTGCCCTGGCTCGGTTCCCTCTTTCAGGAACTGGTTTATCCCTCCTACCCCCAGCAAAACTACTCCCAGCAGCTGTTCCTGAGGGACACTGTCACCCAGCAGGGACTTGTCCCAGCCGTGACACAAGGGTAAGGTCTGCAGGTGGATGCTGGGGTAGCAGGAGAGGTCCTGAACCCCAAACTCAGTTTCTCCATCCTCACAGCTACGACCACGTTGCCAAGAAAAAGCTGCTGACGAACTGCACCTTCATCCTGTGCAAGGGGCTGTACACGCAGATGGACCTGGTGTCGCTGAGCACGGCCTCGGGCAAGCGCTTCTTCTCCTTCCTGGGCTTTGGCTGGGGCTTCATCTCGGACGTGGACATCGACAGCGAGAAGTACCGCTGGCTGGGCAGCGCCCGCTTCACCCTGGGCACCCTGCAGTGCCTGGCCAAGCTCAGGGTGTACCAGGGCCGCCTGTCCTACCTGCCCGTCGCGGCGGAGCAGAGCAGCTCTGTGGCACCCCGGGACCCCCCCGCGCCCGTCACCAACGGCCACATCCCGCAGCCGGCGGGGACGGAGGCGCCCGGCTCCCCGCCCCCCGACTCGCTGCTGGCGCCGCTGGGCCAGCCCGTGCCGGCGCACTGGACCGTGGTCCCCGAGGAGGAGTTTGTCCTGGTCTACGCCATCTACCAGTCCCACCTGGGCACCAACCTGCTGATGGCACCGGCGGCCCGGCTGCACGACGGCTGCATCCACCTCTTCTACATGAAGGCCGGCATCAGCCGCGTGACGCTGCTGAAGCTCTTCCTGGCCATGTCCAGGGGGACCCACCTGGACTTGAACTGTCCCCACCTGTCCTACGTCCCCGTCCGGGCGTTCCGCCTGGAGCCGCGGGTGGCCGCGGGCATCATGACAGTGGATGGGGAGGCGCTGGCCTGCGAGCCCGTGCAGGGCCAGGTCCATGCCCGCCTCTGCCGCGTCCTCAGCGGCTCCTGAGCTCCCCGTTCGCCCTCCCTGCAGCGCTGAGCTGCCGGCACGGCCCGGCGCGAGGGTGGCAGAGCCTTCCTCCCACTCAGGAACCCCCTCCTTCCGTAGCAATAGGTCTTGGGGGGGGCGTGGGGCTCATCCCCTCGCTTGCCCCCACGCTTAGCTTTACCCCTTTGGGACAGCCACCAGAGCTGTTCCAAAAATGAGCCACAAGCCCCATCAGGTACTCGGTGCCGGCGAGATGCCAGCGTGTTTTATCCTGGTACGAGGTCCCGGCCCCCAGGCGGCTGCGCCGGCACAGCCCCGTCCCCTCCCCGGCTCGGACGCACACGGTGGCATTGCTGTGTCCCCGCCCCGGAGCCAGTGCCACCCCCCCAGGGAGGGTCAGGACCAATAGATCTAATACAATAAACCGACTTTTTAAAGAATGTTTCTACCCAAAGCTTCCTGTAGAAGCGGAGTTTATTCTTGTGAGAACTACAAAATAAATATCTAGCGTTTGCAAAAAAAATCCTTCCTGGGTTTTGAATCCGAGCTCACGGCTGCTCTCAGGGGTTGGGCTCACCCACGGCACACGGACCGCAGGACAGGTTTAGCTCAGCACCGCAGCCCTTTGCTCCCTGACATCCTGACAGGAGCAGCACGGAGCGAGGGGTCCCAGAGATGCTCCCAGGGAGGTGCTGAGGACACGGGGCATTGCTGGCACCAGCCACCCCCATTTTTGGGGTGCAGCGATGCCTCCCTGCTCAGCCTCGTGCTGGGGCTGATCGTATCCAGGGAGCTCAGCCCTGCAGTGACACTTGGGGACATCCTGGGGAAAGTTCGGTGCCTCTGAGCGACAGCAGGGAAGGACTCATGGAAGAGGTTCAAGGAGGGGTCGTTTGGCTTTCCGCCTGCAGCGGGGGCCTTTTGGGGGACCCTTGCATCCCTTTTCTCCGGCTGCCCAGGGCCAGCTGGAGTCCTGCTACAGGTCCCTGCCCTGGGGCTTGCCTGGGGGATTACTCAGCCTCTTTGATATAAAATTGCAGTAATTAAACCTCATTTTCAGCGCTCAAGTACAAAGCAGAAGAGTAAACAGTGGTAGCTGTTTGCATTTATTCAACTGCAAACTATGCAATTAGGATGGCCGATCCGGGAAAGAAGAGCACGATTGTCCTCCCGCCATGGCCTCACTTGCTCATGGAGAGGAGCCCTGTTCCTGAGCCAGCAGGGCAGGCAGCAGCTGGGAACCACCTCCCAAAATAAAGTTATTTCCCCCGTGGCATCGGGCCAGGTGTAGAACCAGGCTGAGCAATAACTCTCTAACCCTGCTGAGCTGCTGGAGGGAGAGCCCATGGCAGGGGATGCGCTCAGAGCTCTCGCTGTCTCTCACCGCACACGGAGCAGCAGAGCGGAGCCGTTCGGGCTCACAGCCCCTGAAAGGCTCCCCGCAGGCTCCTCCCGGGGTCCTGCGCGGCTTTCAGCAGCAGGTTGGCCGGGATTGCCCTTGCCTTCCCTTGCCCGGGTTTCGCTGCGCCGCTCTGCCATCACCCATCTGCTTCCAAAACCTGCTGGACGGCAGCAGCGGGCTCCTGGCGGGGAGCCCCCGGCCCTGCTCCCGGGACCGAGGGAGGGGGCAGAGGGTGCTGCGAACAACGCCAGCACACCGAGACACTGCCCGTGCCGCGCACCGGCACCTCGAGGGTCCTGCAGGGAGGACAAAATGTAAGTCAGGACTCCCGACCCCACAGCAGCGCTCCAGATTCCGGCAGCACCCGGCAGGTGCCAGCCCCATCCATCACACCCTTACCTGTGTGCTGAGGTGAGGAGCTGGGGGGCTGCAAAAGGGTTTTTTGCCTGAGTCTGGCTATGAGCAGCAGGGCCACCAGAAGCTGTGCAGGGGCACACACTGAGCCACCCGCAAGCAGCAGGCAGCAGCAGGGAGCACAGAAAACAAAATAAATCCCAGCCTGACAGATGCCCTCTGCACATCAGTGTCTTGGGGAACAGTTTATGGAGAGCCGCAGAGGCAGCCCCTCCCTGCCAGACCTGCCTGGATCCCTCTGGACTCATCGGCCTGGCTTCAGCCAGCGGGACCCTGTCCAGCCCCGAGGCTGGCACAGGGATGCGCTGGAGAGGGGCAAGTGCCAGGAGAGTGGCAGGGGGTGGTGGGGGAAAGAAAGAGACAACTCACAGATCTACTCACAGAGGCAAAATTTAATGGCAAGTCATCTTCCCTCCTTTATTACACCTTGGTTAGCCAAACAAAAAAAATCTGCAGGTAAAAAAAGTTTTAATGGTCACACAGCACTTTATACATATATCATAAGCAACCAAGCATCCACATCTGCACGTGAACGACACACCTCTAAGCATGGCCTCAATAGTCAGGTTTGTTTTTTTAAATTCATTAAATACTGTACAGAATCAAGGCTACAAACTGATTTTGTAATGCTTCTTCCCCCTCCCCAGCACTTAAAACAGTTACAGGCTGCTCTCATTTGTACATCACACAGTCGTGTAGCCAGTTTTAAGGCTAACAATATGCATCATGCTTTGGCTTTTGTGTGTTTTTAAAATTTTTTTTTTTAAGGTTTTAGCCTTTTAAATTTTGTTACCCTTAAATATTACATACATACACAAAAAATTACATAGCTGCAGTGTGCTCACCACCAACCTCATCACCCAGGAGCTTCACATTATCAAAAGCTTTAGAAAATTTGTAAACCTCTGTGCACGCTTGGGTTTGGGACAGCTGCAGAGAGCGAGCGGCGCCGGGGGGAGCAGTGTCCCCTTCCAAAGGCCAACATCCACCTCCTCAGAGGGAGCCCAGCCTGTGCAAAAGCTCTTGTGTAGGATCAGAGACTTTTTGGGCAAAGGGGAGGATGTGGTGCCTGCCCTGTGAGATGAAAGCTGCAGAGTAAAGGAGGGAAAAAGGGGAACTCAACAGCTCCTCCATCCCCTGTGGGTTTCTCCCTCCCTCCATCCCTGGTCCTGTGGGTCATGGGGCAGCCACAGCCTGGCTCTGGGGACAGAGGGTGTCTGGATCACTAATCATGGCTGTGCCTGGAATCAGCCTCTGCCTGTTCTTCCTGGAGCAGTGGCCTCACCTCTTGCCCCCAGCCCTCCGAGACACTCGGTGCTCCGCTCAAAGGGATCCATTCACTCCCAAACGTGGCCGTGGTTACAGCTCCAGCCTGCCCTGCCCCACCCACGGCTCCCAGCACCTCTCTGCACCCCAAATCAGCACCTGCCCGACTTCCCACCTGCCAGGGAGGGCTCCTGGAGCAGGGCTGCAGCTGCTGCACCCACAGAGCAGTGTCTGGAGAGCTCTGCAGCCCAGGTCTTCATCACAGCCAAGCCCTGCATCCTCCGGAGCACCAGAAGGACGTGTCTTCCAAAATCCCAGAGGTGGATGGGGACACGAGAAGGGCTTTGTGCAGCCAGCCCCTGGCTCAGGAGCATCACGGGGGCAGCAGGAAAGCACAAGGAGCTGGGGGGAAGGGAGGGGGGTGCATTTGGGCTGTTGGGTGCAGCCCTTGGTGGCTCTGGGAGCAAGAAGCACTGCACCAACGTGTTGGGATTCTCTGCTGTTCTGCATTTAGAACTGCAGCCACATTGAGCAAGAGCAAAAGCAAAGGAGAGCTTTGTCTCCATCCTTACCTCTGGCAGAGCCATCTGCTCAGCCTGACTCCTTCCTGGGAAGCCTGGCACCACTGCCCTGCTGGAAGGACTCTCCCTGACACTGTGCTCCCCATGGATGCTCATGGGTGCCTCTCCAATGCCTGAGCACTGGGCAAAGGCAGCAGGGCTGGAGTGTGACAGCCCAGCTCCAAGTGAAGGTGTGTGCACACTGGACCAGAGGCCTCAGGAAGGGGACTTGACCAGGGGACTCTGGCAAGTCACTGCCTCAAAGTGCTCATGGTCACCAGCTCAGGCTGTGAAACACAGGCTGCCCTCACCACGTGTTTTCCTTTCCAGCAGCACCATGGCTGGGGTTAGGGATGGGAAGTGCTGGGCCCACAGTGCTGCTGGCCACAATCAGGCCACCATGGGAAACAGCTGGCAAGGCAAGGAGCTGAAAATAGCCCAAAACAGCTGCTGTAACAGCACAGGAACCAGCACAAACTGGTGCTGCCACAACAGGGCCTCGCCATGACACAGCTTTCCTGGGGTGACCCTGACTCCCACGGCTCCTGAACACCCGTGTGCAGCTGGATGAGGGAGCAGCAGCCACACCAGGCTCATCCAGATCTACAAGAGGCCCCAGGGTCCCTGGCTGCTGCCTGCCCAGGTGAGGCCGGGATCCAGGGTGGGTGCAGTGCTGTGTGACAGCCGGGATGGCTGGGAACAAAAGATATGGATACCTAAGCAAGTAACAGGGACAGAACCCTGAATCCCATGTACTTCTAGAAGACAGGCATGCATGGTGGGGAAAGGGAAGTTTGCCTCACTCTGGAGAAAAAGAAGTGGGGATGGCTAGACTTGCCTCCAGGAGACTGACCTGGAAGCTGCAGAACTGCATGGAAAGTCTGCAGCACTCCCAGGGCAGCACAAGTGCCAGTGCAGAGCTCTGGCCCTGCCTACCAACCCCGACTGGAAGAACCTTGTAGCTATGGGTGAACAACTAAGACTAGAGCAACTCTGTGTGGTGTAGACAACTCCAATGCAAACACAATCCAATGTCTAAGTACAGATAAGCTGGGGTAGACTTCATAGAACCCATGGGAACGCCGAGAAAAATAAAAGACTGGGAGGGCATTGCCCTTCATTACCAGAAACTACAGCAATCCCTTCTCCTGGCTGGAACCCCACCAGAACAAACTGCTGGGTGTAGCGCTGGGTGGGAAGAGTCCTCGTGTGGAAAGGTGCCCCAAGATGAAAGTGCAGAGGGAACGTGGCTGCAAGACTGCTTCTGTGCAGGTCTCAAATCTTACCATTGCAGGGTCAAACTTGCAATAAGAGCACGTACATGGGACAGGGGGAAGGAAGAGGGGTTGGGGGAAAAGAGTTATTCATGCTTAAACGACCTTTCCTCAGAGGAGCAGTCAGGCCTACCACCTTCTTTGGAACAAACCAAGCTGAGGAAGAAAAGCTGGAAGGAGAAGCCAGTTGATTGGTAACAGCATTTGCCAATTTACTTTCTGCTGCTTTCCCTTCTCCCCTGCACCTGCCTGTCCCTAACCTGATGGTTTATTTGTCCTCTGTCCACTCTGGGATGTTGGCCCCTGCTAAGGCAGCCCGGTACTGCTGCAAGACACCGCGGATGCTTTTAATGAACCCCTTGGACAAAGGGAAGAGGGGAAACCCAATATCAGGGTAACCGCTCTTCTCCGGCAGGAAACTCCTGTAGCTCTTTCTCCTTTTCTTTGGTTTCACGCTGGGCTGCGAGGCAGAGTCCTGGGCAGCCTTCCCCTCGTCCGTTCGGTCTCTGGCCAGGTCCCCCCTGGCTTGGCCTGTGCTCTCCGAGTCTGAGTACTGTTGGAGGTCGCCGGCGTTGGGCGTCGCGGTCGGGAGCTCCGACTCGTCCAGCTCCTCCTTCGCGTCCGGCGCCGAGTCGGACAGTTCGGCAGCCGCGCCCTGCTCCGAGCTGCACTCTGCCAGCGCCCCCGCCGTGTCCCCGGGGCTCTCGGCCAGGCTGCCGCCGGCACACAGGGAGGCAGAATCCGCCCCGTTGGCCTGTTCGTGGCTGCGCTCCACCAGCTCGTTGGTCTCCAGCCAGGACTCGATGCGGGACACCAGGCGCCAGCCGTTGCAGCGGAAATGCTCCCGGATCTCGTGCTCGAAGACCTCCACGGGCCGGCGCAGCAGCTGCATCATGGACTGCACCACGCGGATCAGCGTCATCTCGTTGTAGCAGCGGCTGTTCTCGTAGCCCTCCTGCAGCCCCCGGTCGCTGTCGAAGCCTGCCTCGTTGTAGTAGGGCTCGTTCACCAGGATGAGACCTGCCGGGAGAACGGGACACCGAGGGGTTAAGGCAGGGACACCGGGAATCACCATCCCCTGCCAGTCCACTCCTGCCAAGAGGGTCAAGCACAGGCCGGGCTGAACCCCCAAATCTGCAGGATGCAAAGGTCTGGTGTTGCAAGGGGAGCACAGTGTGACCTGGTAGGGACCTCAGACTCGGCAGGGAGTGGTGTTCACGTTCCTTGGCTGGCAAGAACAGCCCTCTGCCAGCACAATGCAGAGGGCACACAACAGCAGAGGAGATCAAAAGGGCAGGAAGGGAGAGGTTTCACAGCTCCTTTCACTTCCCTCCTGCAGAAACCCCCACGAACACAACAAAAGCTTTTATTTTCCTCCTCCTCTTAACCAGAACAAAGGCCAGACGGCAACAACAGGCTTTGAGCTGGCCAGGTTCTGCTCTGTCCAGCAGAGTCCCACCAGACATTACAGTTCTGAGACACAGAAGACTGTGAGAAGTCACCTTTACCAAGATTTCTCCTACTTACTTCTGGTCTAATGAAATTACAGGTATGTAGCAATAGCCCCAGCACTGCCAGGCTGCTGGCAGCCTGCCACAAGTTGCATTAGAGCTGGGGAGATCATGTGTCTCTCAAAACCCAGGCAGCAGGAGAGGAGATCTTCCCTTAACACCAAGTTGCTCCAGTAAAACATTTAGTATTTCATTTTCTAAATTTGGATCCTTGGCTTTAGAAATGAGAAAAGGCTTTTATTGTGGTGTCCTTCCCCCACAGGAGCACACAGGTGGACTGTGGGAGTTCAGAGGAGAAGGAGCTGCCTCCAGTCAGCAGGAACCCTTGCTCCGTGTTAAAGGTTTCTCATCACATGCCTGAGCTCCCTGCTCAGAAAGCCATCCATGAGGAAGTTAAGTGATTTAGTCTGTCTGCTCCCAAACTGGATAGGGCAGAGCAAAGCCCCATGGCAGGAAGCCCTGGGGCTCGTCTAGGCACACCCCTGATTATTCTCTGCTTTGGTAGGAGCATAAACACCAGCATCATGTGCAAAACATGTCCCAAGTAGGATGGGCGGGTGACTCAGTGGGGACAAAAAGAGGCCCAGTTTAGCAACTTCTACTAACTTTGGTAACAGGCTGAGGACACAGTGCCTCACCTCTGTCAGCTCAGAGTAACAAGCAGACAACTTTGTGCTTGGCTGCTGCAGTGGGAAGAAGGGAAAGCATTGTGTCAGAGCTCTGGGATGCAGCCAGAACTCTGGGCATGAGAAAAGCTGGCACCTGCTTCCACTGCTCAAGCACAGAGATAAGGACACTGCTTTGTCCAGCAAGGTGAGACCAAAAGGCAGCACTAACCCAGCTGGGGTGGCAGATCCCAATTGTGAGCCCCCCATAAACCAACAACCCTTCCTCCCTCTAACTTTTCCTGCCCCACAGGCTTGGCAGGAGCGTTTACCTTGGATGGAGATGAGTACTTGAAGGAGACTGGATTTACTGGTCCACCTTTCTGTCCCCTGAAATGCAAACACAAATACGTTAAAGGGCTGAAGCACCATCAGTTTGCTCTGTGACTGTTGTCAGATGAAGTGAGGCCCCAGTTGCTCTGCATTCCTGTTGCTGACATCCTGTGGCTCACGGCAGGAACAAGGAACTGACTCCACGAGCACGTGATGTGCCGGTGTCCCATCTCAACAACACATCTCTCCGTTATTTTTTTACCAGCACCACACCCCCTCAGGCCAGTTCTGTCTGGAACTGTGTAACCTTGCACACAAGCCATCAGTTCCAACCCCTTCCCAGCTGCCCTGTCCTGCTCAAAACCTATTTCCCTGTCTCTGCTTATTCCAAATCTCCAGCTGGACTTTGTACCACACTACATGATTTTTGTCCACAGTGTGGAAGACAGAGCCCTAACCCACAGGCACACCCCATGCTGTTGTTGGCATCTCTGCTATGGCTAGACTGACCACAGACTTCTCATTGAGGAGAGACAGTTGAGCCAAATACAGACCCAGAAAAAGCCAAACTACACCAGTTATCTGCTCCAGACACCTGAATCTGGAGTGCCCAAAGCCAAAAACTCCAGCTCAAGCACCACCCAAGAGAGAAGTCACTCAGGTCTGGTAGGCAGTGACTTGTTCCAAAAGCAGCCCAGCACAAGCCCTGCTCCCTAGGGACAGGTGGAGGACAGCATTACCTTCCCTATCCAGGTCCCCAGGAGGCTGACACACACTTTGCCATTGTCGTAGAGGTTGGGATTCAGTCTCCCACTGCACTGGGAGAGGTAGCGGAACAGAGGCGGGACAGCAGGGTAGATGTTGGGGAGCTGGATGTCGAAGAGGAAGAGGCCATCTTCATAGGGTGTGCGTGTGGGGCCTTTGATAAGTGCTGAGAAGAGATCCTGTGGGGAGAGGCAGGAGGTCAGGCACTGGGAAACACCCTGGCAGAGCTGTATTTACACAGAGGGAGAGTGGGGATGTGATTGACTTGGCCCTTTCAAGCGTCAGTTCAAGCAACACATCTCAGGGCACCTTCCCCCGCCAGAAGTTGCACCCTGAGAGCAAAGTGAACCTTTGCAACTGGAACAGGGCTTCAAGGAGGGCCAAAAATCCCAAATTTACTCCCTGCTGACACAACCCCTTGCTGGCTGTCTTCCCACTCAGCACCCAGAACAGCCTCCCTGCAATCAGCAGCTCCTTTTTTGCCACCCTGACCCAGGGAATGCAAAAGCAGCAAAAGCAGCCATTTTGGGTAATTACAGCCCTGTTGCACATGATGCACACATTCCTGCAGCTCTAACGCAAAGGATTAGGGCTAAGCAGGGAATTCCAAAGACAGGGATCCAGATGCTGAGCCCAGCACCACCACAGAGGCATCTGAGAGCAGGCACTTGCCATTCGATCCTCGAAGGTTTTCACCATGATGCCATCGGGCAGGGAGGTGGCCAGCAGAGCCATCTCCTTCCGCACGGTGCTAAAGAACTTCTTGGCTTCTGGGGGCTGGAACTCCATTTTCTTGAAGGCATGGGAATCTGTGGAACAAGGAAGACAACAGAATTACAGCCTACCTTTGGAAACTGCCACAGGCTCCTCCTGAAGGCAAATCTACCCATGTGTAATATGCATCTTGTGGAAGAGAGGAGTTAACTTGCTTTGGTGCTGAGCCAGGAGGCAGGAGAGATGATTTCCCACACAGTACAGCAACCACAACCTGCATCTCCTGTTCTCACTGTCCCACACAACACTGTCCCCTGTGGCCCAGCAAGGAAACTTTTCCCACAGCTGGGACAATCCCACAGAGCAATGGCCCTTTCCCTGCCAAACTTAACCCAGCTCCCTACTCTCCCTGGCTCACACCTGCAGCTTCACAACAGTCTGGCCACCTTTCCCACCCAGGTCTGGCCTGGCTGCAGCACCTTGGGCTCCACTGTCACCAGTGTTCCACACAGCCAGATGCTCTCTTTTATTTCTGGCCACTAACACTGGTGCCAGTGAATAAGGACACCCACTCGCCAAGGACACCCAGCACAAGAACAGCAGCTGTTTTTGCTCTGCTTTTCAACCAATTCAGCCTTGAAATAAAAAGCCTGAACAAACCCTGCAACTTGCAAGGAAATGTCTGCAATGGAAAGCAACTGATGTCTGCAGCCCTCCAACGTTAGTCACCACCCTGGGAAAGAGGGAAGCACACTTCTGAGGCTTGGGAAGGTGCAGGAGTGCCTGGAGATGCTATCTAGAAGCCATGCTTAGGTCCCAGAACACACTGTGCTACAGAAGTTGGCTTAATTTCTTTTCTAGTTAATGAGCTATGGAAAGGACTAACAGGAAGAGAGGATACAGAATCCAAAAGGTTTGAGGCAGAGGTTTTGAATAAAGAAACACTGCAGGAGAGTAGCAACGGAGTATCCCACACTCACCTGGAGCATACTCCAACACAGAGAACACTTCTCCCTTGGCACTGGTGAAGGTGACTCCAGGCTTCCCTCCACTCTGCTGGCAGAGCACTGGTGTCTCACTGGGCCACTCTGACCTCACTGGTGTCTGTGCCTCTGCTTTTTCTTCCTTCTTCTCCGTCTCTACCATGGCTTCCATCTTTTCCTCCTCAGCAATAGCCACATTATCCAAGGTCTTCTTTAGATTTTCCTGCAGCTTTTTAATATCGTCCAAGAACTTCTTTTCTCGAGTGGGTTTTTCCAGTTCCACAGTTGGGGAGGTGGGAGAGCCAGTCAGCAGCTGCTCCACAGTCATATTTTTCAGGCTTTCCAAGATCTTGATGGCCTCCTTTAGCTCCCGGAAGCTCTTTGGGGCTCCATCCTTGCCAGCTTTTTCTGTAGCAAGATCTGCAACTGCCATAGCCACAGCTCCCTGGACTTGTTCTTCTACTTTTTTCACCTCCTCTGCTGCTGGTTCCTCAGGCTCAAAGTCCTCAATTTTTGGGTGGTCATCTTCCATGAGGCCATTATCTGTCTCCCAGCTGTCACTTTCATCCTCCCACTCTGAGGATGCCCCGCTGGTGCTGCCATCAACAGAATCATAGTCTGACTCCTCAATTTCTGATTCAATATTGTACAAGTGCTAAAGGAGAACAGAGTTACACGAGACTTAGGCTGAAGCACAGTTTTAGTTCTTTTAAAAAGTAAGTAATGAAAAAGGAGTTTCCATTTGGAATTGGTTGGGCTGTTTAAACCCATTCCATCTATACTGGCTCAGATTATGAAACCACACAGTCCCATCCTCCAGTTTTCCAACTGTAGCATTGGGGGTAAAACTAGGCAAGTTCTAGATGGGCTGCAGTCCTCCCAGTGTCTGGGATCCAGCCCAGGAGAGCAGGCAGGTGCCCCACAGCTCCCTGGATGCCCCAGGGATTCAGAACACAGAGCTCAGAAGGTATGTGGTATCATGTGAGGAGTTGGTATTTCTAGTCCTGCTTCCGCACCAGCAACTGAGCCCTGGTTTGGCTGCCTCCACACTCTGTCCTTCCACAGAGACAATGCTGGAACCAAGAACACATTCCCATAGCAGCTCTCCTCTCCTGTGGCACACAATACTTGCCAACAGAGCCTTGCTAGGCTGCTTTAGCTGTTATATGTGGCTACTGCTTAAAATTCAGCTGAGACAATGGAGCCTCACCCAAGTTGCTGAATAAGCTCTTACATAAAATGCTCTCTTCCCTCTCCTACTGGAAGCTGAACACATCCCTACTCCATCCAGCCTCACCTCCAACAACTTGCTTTTGCACATGCTGTGTCTCTGGAGGTCTCTCTGCAGAGGTTTACAGAACTCCTTCAGCTTTAAGCACCAACACAGAACCAGGGGAGCAAGAACACTTTTACAGGGCTGTGTTTGCAGTGACAAGATGGGAGCATTTTATCCACAAGCTTCTGATACTTGAGTGACAGCCCAAGAATCCTCTTAATCTTGCAAGATACAACCCCAGAGGCTAAAGCACATGGACCCTCAGTCATCTTGTCAAAGCCTTCAACTGAAGCAGCACTGTTGAGCCAGTCCTGTGCCACCCAGAGACAGGCAGCCAGCAGAGGTTAGCTGGGTTCAACGCAAGTGACTGCAGGCACGAAAAGCCATCAAAACTCACTGCCCTCAAAGCTAATCCAAATCCGAGTTGGAAAGTTAATTAGCCTGTTATGCCATCTTTATTTTTAGAGCTGTGAAAAAGCACCCAGACAGCTCGTCTCTGGGCACACGGTCAGGCATTGATAAATCATGGTTTTACCAACTGATAATTCATGCTCCTGACATTTCCCTAACTCCCATAATTGCGCAGAGGAGCAGAATCGAAGGGACTGGCGTGACACAGCAGGAGCTGCTGCAGAGCCCCAGCACTGCAGTGTGAGAACAGCCCTTTGTGGAGCACGCATCAGACCTCTGATTGTGCCTGTGATCCAAGCACATGTGACAACGGGGAAGGGAGACAGCAGCCTGCTTTGTATGCCCCAGTCCACTGCCACAGTGCAGGCATTGACTATTCTACTGTAATTAATGCAGAGCTGCTTGGTTTAGAAAGGAATCTTGCTCAAGTACATTGTACTTGCTAAGGCATCTCTGCAGTGGAGGCAGTGGTTGCTCTGTCAGTGACAGAATGGACTCTACAGATGTAGGTTGTCTTGTATCTTTAGGCTGTCTGCCTTCATTCCAGGCAACAAGGAGAGAAGACATGGGATGAAACTGTCTGGGGAGTAGCAAGTATGAGTACAAGACATTACAACAAAAGCCTTAAAAGAATCCCAGACAAATCAGCAGGGTGCAGTGGATTAGCAGTGTAGCTGTAGCTGTATTTTTCAGCTTGCATTCAACCCTTTCCCTCCCTGCCCTGGGATAAGATTTGAGTCTGACTCCTAGGTTAGCTAAGGTACAATTTGTGGCTCTGGCCCAGGTTCTGGCCATAGTGGGGTCTTTAACAAAAACTCCACTATGGTGGCATTTCACAAGAGAGACAGAACATGCAATTGTCTTTTGGCCATGCCCTGGTTGGGCAATGCACTAACCCAGGCTCCACTCAGAACCAATGATCCCCGAGCTCTGCCAAGCTCCACGTGCTGGAGGCAGGAGCAGGGCTGTGGACAGAGCTGGGAGGCACTTGTGAAGGCAAAAAGAACCTGTTCAGGCTTTCCTAATCACTAGATTAGAGAGCAGTTATGAGCAACTAGTTGCCTTCCAACAAAAGGATTTTCCTGTGATACCAGAATTGGGAAGTCACCCTATCACATGGGACTGCACCAATCAATAGAGCACGAGTCCCTTACCCAGAGAATCTCTCTACACACAGGATTTAAATCCACATTTTGTCAGTCAGCTAACAATTACAGTGATATTGGGAGCTGGAACAGGATCTCACCTGAGGCAGAATGATAGTCTTGGAGTTGTCAGCCCACACCACTTCCACCTTGCTGCTGACATCCACACGAGCCACCTGTCCAACCGAAGGCTGTGGAGACAACAGTGATTTGTCAGTCTCTTTTCTTTCCCAGGCACTTCAGTGCAGAGCAGGAAGGATTTGAGAAACACATTCCCCAGCTGGAGAATTACCTAGAGCAACACCTGCACCCTACATGCAGAAACCACAAAACTCTGCCGTGGAGGTGGGGAGAACTCTTCAGGAATGAGCAGGAATGCTGGTCTGGCAGGAGATCCTGATCTTTGACAGGACCAGCAGCCTTTCAGTGCCAGCAAGGGACAGGTCCTCTGTGGAATGGGGGTGCCCTCTAGTGGGGTTCCCTCAGCTCCCCCAACACCCAGCACCAGGGGCTCCTCGGAGAGTACAGGCATGAACAAACAAGCCACAGTCTTGCAGGGTGTGCAAGCAAGGAGCACCTTGCCCTGCAGCAGGTTATTTAGGTCAGCTGAGCAGGCTGGGATGTGTTTTGTGCTGTAAGAGCCACACTACACCTTTTAACACTTTTTTAGGGCAGCAGGCTCAAAAGCTGGAGGTCTCTCCAGAGGTGTTTTGTCTACAGTATAAATTGTTCTTTCTTCCCCCAAGGAAGTCAATCAGCTCAACAAAATTAACATGAACATAGCTCAGTCACCACAGCTGAACCCCAGTCTTCTGTTGCTAAGCGAAACCGGTTTCATGACAAATCCACCTCATGGTTGCTCAGGAGCCCACAGAATATCCTTTTATTACAAGTTACTCTGAAATCCAAGGCAAGAGTTCTAGGAAAAGCCCTCAGGCATATGTTCAGTCCTTGTCTCAGCTCCACTCTTGCTCTGTTACAGACTGTCATCAAGGTCAAAGGATTTCAAGGTTGCATCTCCACCAGACAGAGCCTGATGCGTTACTCATGACAGCAGGGGACACCAATACAAAATCAGGAAGCTAGGGAGTTTATTTAGGATGCCCACGTGGGGCCTAACACCTTTCTATCAGCTCTTCCAAGTGTCTCCACCAACACCTGGTGACACTGTGGCCACAGCACCGCGCCCAGGACCCACCTCGTCCTCCTTGGCCGCGGCTCCGTCGGAGTTGCCGATGCGGATGACGATGTCGGTGGTGCGGAAGCGAAAGTCGGGGTGGTCGGCGATGTCGTAGACGCTCACGTCCTCCTCCTCCCCGATCAGCTGCACCGAGACAGAGCAACACGTCAGCCCCACGAGGCTGCACTGACCCCCAGAACACACCTTCAGCCCTCCAAGCACTTTGTGTTTTATTTGATCCCTTTTCAGCTGCTCCGACAGCCTGCAAGGGGCTGCTGCTGTCCCTCTTTGTCACCTCAGCCAGTGGCACGTGGATCAAGGCACAACGATGAAAGGAAGCAGATATTCTGTCTCATCTGCTCACCCTCACTTTTACCCCAGGATTTATGTCACCGTGACAAGGAGACGTGCAACTATAGTGTTTTATTCCCTTCTGAACACCCAGATTTCTCAGAGCAGTTCACTGGGGCCCAAAGGGCAAGAGCTTACTTTTGAAATTATCCAATGCAAGAGGAAGTATATGACAAAAAAACATTGTCATTTAATAGGAAGCATCTTTCCTTTGATTTCTCCTGGAGAAAGAGAGCTAGGAGCTCACGAATTATGAGAAATAAGTGAAGCACAGTCCCAGACCAGAAACATGTTCTGCTTCTGCATGTGAAGGACCCTGCTCAGTTATGACAGTGTGGCCTGGCAGGCCAAAATAAAGCAGTGTCAAGGCCCCCTCTCATCTCCAACTAGACTGCACTCTATCTAGACCCTGGAAAATACAGCATTCCTACAAATCCCAAGGAAAAGGCATTAGGGTAACTATGGGCAATAGTACCTGGCAGAGGCAAGCACAACAACATGCAATAAATTGATCCTATTTCTATGAACCATGCAAAGACATGGAGAGGAAAAATTCTTATAGTGAACTCAAGAAATCAATTGTCCGTGACAACTTAAGCAAAAATATTCATCCATACCAGAACCTGATGATACTAAATAGGATAAATTATCTGCCTGGTCTTGGCTACCTCACAGGCATCTACAAATATGAAGTGACATCACCTCTAGCTAAGTCTCCCAGGCCTATAAGCACTGTTCCCTTCCTCAAGGACACACAATCAATGCAGAGCTGATTTCTAGGTTTATTTGTGAGGCTTGTGTTACTTTGTGGCTGCTTTCTCTTAGCTGGTTGCAGCAGGCAGTGGCTCCTGCACTTACCTCCACATCATCTCCACTGGGTTTCAGCTTGAACCACTTCACCACACAGGTACGGCCGATGTGGTCCCCAGACTGCACCACTCCATACAACCCAGGATCCTGGGAGCTCTGAACTTTTGGTCACAATGGTAGGGAAGAAAACAGACAAATCAGGCAAAGGAGCAGAGATTTTGCTGAGTGACTGAGGCTGTCAGCTCCTGGACTCTTATGGCTAAAGCCTTCCACTTGTGAATGGCATGAGGAAAAACACTTCTTCCTACACAGTGAGAATTGTTGCCAAACTAGAATGGTAGAGCTGGAGCTGACGGGTAACTTTAGTTTCCACAGACTACGTGTAACCCAGAAGACCAGTCAGACATTACTCATCAGAAATGGCCATATAAAACAGCCTATATTTATGCTAAGCCAGTTTTCCTGCTTCCCAACCTGAGTGTCTTCAGGTCCCCACTGCTGAGGGTCTACCCTTGCTAGAAAAGGAGCTGTGACCCAGATGGTGTCATCAATAATTCATATCCAAAAGCTGTAAGTCTCCTTGAACTTGTCCTGTGGCACTCATTAGCATCACCAATTGGTTTGGTGAAGAAAAAGGATTCAAGAAGAGGCCTCTGGATCCCAAAACTCCCCATGAAAAAACTGTGAGAGGCATGATAGATCAGCCATAGAGAGAAAACAGCCTGAGGTTAGCTGTTTGTTTCTCCCCTCAGTATGGGACAGAGCTCAGAGCTGCTAGCCCTTTCAAGGTGGGCAACTCCTGCTCTGCAGAAATACTGGAAAATCCTAGTTTGGATCCTTGGTATTTATTCTTTCCACATCCTTCCGCCGTCATAGTTCAACTTTGGTATGTAAATAATGGTGCCATTCCCACTAAGTCAGCCGAATCACTGCTGTCCCTGTCAGGTGCCCACCTCAAGTGAGCACCAACAGCTACAGAGCAAATTAGGGGATCCAAACTGAGCAATACTTTGCAATTAAGAGCATTGTTCTGACACCCAATACCTCTTTTGTCCACCACAAAATCGCCGGGGCAGAACTCGTTGTTGTCCAGGTGATGGACAGGGATCAGCTCGTTGGAGCGGATGTTTGTCTCCACGGTGCCATCCTGCCACATCACATCAGCTGAAGTCATCGTGGTCACCACTTCCACAGCAACCCTGGCAGCACACAAAGGCAGTGAGTTACCAAAGGGAACATCAGGGATCAAGTCAGGAAAGCCCATGTGGAGCACATGGACACAGCTACACAGCAGGCTTTGTTTTGATGGGCTCTCAACCCCTATAGGTGTTACATTGCTGAAGGAGGACTGACTTTCCAAGGAGCTCCTGCTGAGTTCACTTTTATTCCTATGGAGGCAAATTAACATCTACTAGCACCCACTTTCTGCCCCTGACAGGAGCTTCAAATAGTTTGAAGCTTGAGACCTTCTCTGCTGGAGCACCTTCCAGCTCTGAGGAGTCTTTGAAACTAGAAGAACACATAACTGGAAAGATAAATCATCACAGCCCTTCCAAAGAGAAAAAAACCAAAACAAGAAAAGAGGCTACACACTGAATGTGAGTAAAGCAAAAGGATTTTGTTTAAAACAAAAATGTCATCCCCAGCTGTTCAAACACACACGTGTCTCTGCAGCTCAGAAATTAAACCCAAACACACCACAATGGACCACATGCTGGTTCTCTGTTGTGGGGCTTCACAGGGATGCTTGAGGAGGCTTGGGGCTCGAGGGACAGCCTAGCTGGACACTCTTCTAATGAGCCTTCCACTAATTTCATCTCTCCTACAGAACAGAATAAACCAAAACCCACACTGGCTCTAAATCTTCCCTTTACTTTGCTGGCCAGGCCTTCCAGAATAACACAAGTGCTGGATTTATGTTGGTTTCAGAATCAGATCAGAATGATGATACAGTAGGCAAATACAGCTATTTGCCCCCAGCCCTGTTTTTATTAATGTCAGAGAAATATTTTTAAATGGAAACAAGATGAAGTTTTTTAGCAGGGCCAGCACTCCACAGCAGAAATTATCAGAGAAGGGTCTGTAACAGGCCAAGTGTGTGTGTGTGATATGCAACAAGATGGTTTCTGGGGGACAGAGGACATGTCTGGGGGACACAGGACATGTGCAGCTGAGGATGGGAGTGGAAAGGCTGTGCAAGGAAATGAGGCACTCTTGTCTGCAGCTGTGGCTTCAAACAAAAATCAAGACTTGATGTTAATAAAAATCCCTGTATATCCTCACTAAAAGATATCCAGCAGTCTGTGTGCTGCACAGAGAGCTGCAGCAGGTCACTCATTGATGGCAAAGCCACATGCTGAGCTGGTCCCTGCAGCCAGACTGCCCAGGAGCTGACACATCACATGTGGTGACCAAGTGCAAGCAGCCCAAGAACTCTGCATTTCTCAGCAGTGCCTGGCAGAACATCTCTGATGACCAGAGAAACATCTCTGATTCCTCAGCACCCCAGAGGAATATTCAACAGCACTGGCCCCTCACACTGAGCTGTGCCCAGCTGCCACATGTACCCTTCACAGCATCAGTCTGGGGGCTCTCAGTCTGTGCTGAACAAGCCTCTAACTTATCTCTGCATCTCCTTGTATGGAGCTGCCCTCCTCCACCACTGGAATTTCTTGGGACTGCCACAGGGATTTCTCCCCACTGCCTGTAGAGTGCAGGGAGCCACCAGGTACCCTAGCTATGCTCTCTTTAGCAAAACCTTCAGTAAAACAGAGACACTCAGTGGGGGAGTGAGACATGAAGAGTGAACCGAGAATCCGTTCCCAGGAACTCTATCACACGCTCCCATTTTTTCTCACACTTGGATGCTGCTCTGCTGGGCTTTGTGACCTTCAAATCTAATTTCTTCAGAACTTACAAGAATCACTCACAGGCAAGGCTAAATACATACAAAAAATGAGAATGAAGTTTGTGACATTCTCAAACTAGTGAATCTCTTGAATAATCTCTGATAATGTCACTCTCCTGGGAGAATTCTCACACGTTCTCTTGCATCAGTTGATACAGAATCTGTATACAACTACGCAGCCCAGGGAAGCCTGCAGACAGGCAGACCACTTGTCAGATATCCTTGCACCCCATGAAAACAGTTTAAACATTCCTAAGTTAAAGGCAAAAGGTGCTGAGATTCAGTTTTATCTAGAAATGGGCAGATACATGCAGTGCTTCCTCCCCCAAGCTACTGAAACAAATTCCTCCAGGGCTCTCAAGAAGTGAGTGCAATTTATTCATTAAAAAATTCTAATATTAAGTATACTGCTGGCAAAAACTGCAGATCTCTGCAGAGCAGGGCCAGGATAACAGAGACCATGGCAGCACTACCACCTGCCAGCTCAGAGCTCTGTGCTGCACTGGAGACAGCTCTCTAGGATAAACTGTCCATTCCCAACATGGTCTGTCCTCAGCCTCTCTGCAGAAACTGCCAATAAAGTAACCAATTAGTGTCATGTTTAAGCTGTGTGATCTTTATTCACCTCTTTCCCTGCACACAGAATCTAGCACAGCACAGATATGCTGTTGATGCCCTGAGGCACAGCTGAAATGGAATAGCATCAGTGTCAGGTCACATGGCCCCAGTTTCATCAGAAGCTGGACTGAGACCAAGCTGATTCCACACAGGCCACTGCACAGTCATCACAAGATAATTGCTGTCAGTTACTACCAAACTCCCCATCATCCTGCACCCAAGTTCAGGTGGTGCTCTGTAGCTGAGCACTTGGGAAGGGAGATTCTGGCAATTACACATGGGTGTGGAAATGCAGCTCACCTGTCTCCTGGCTTAAACTCTCGTGAAACCTTGGTCTTCTTCTTCTTGTGCTTCCGCTTCAAGTTTTTGATGGAAAGAGGGATGCTCTTCTTGCGGCAGGTGCCACTGCCACTCTGGGACGAGGCAGTGGAGCTAGCAGAAGAGGTGACAGAACTGGTGTCGTCAGTGTCATCAGCTGCCTCATCATCAGCATCCTGCTCCATGGACTGCAGCCGGTAGTCAGGCAGCCCTTCATCCTTCAGGAGAAAGGGAGGCTGCTGCTGCCGTGCTGCTGCTCCCCCTTTCTCCTTGCCTGTTTCTTCAGGCTGCTCCTCCTTTCTCTCCCCAGGACTTGGTGCACTGTTGGAAGAGTCATCCAGCTCACACTTGGATTCAGGCTTAAGCTCTTCTGATTTTTGGTCAGCAGCTGCAGCAGACTCTTTGTCAGGGGCTTCACTGGTGCCCTGAGACTCTGGGGAGCACGACATGATCTTCACAATCTGCTTCTTCAGCAGCCGTCTCACCTGGAAGGAGCAGACGTGGGTCAGACCTGTGCCTGGACACTCAGCAGGCTGCCAGCCAGCCTGGGGAATGCTCAGCTTTGTGCAGGAAAAACAGCACCCACAGGGCTCTGCAAATTTCACCTGAACCAGACTACTCTGCAAACCAGCACCTCACAGTGCTCTGCTCAGGAACAGCACTGCAATAGCCCAAGTAAAGTGAGCTTTGCCCCTTCAGGTTATTTTAAGCATGTTTTGAACTTTTTTTGTTATGGAAGGTCACAAGAAGCTGTACAAATAAATCCATGTAACATGCACAGACATGCAGAGAGGTCACCATCTACACACTGATGACATCCTGGTATTCTAGGAACACCATGGCTCTACAGCCAGCAGGTACAGACCATAGCACGACTCACTTGGCCTAGGAAGCAAAACCAGCTTCCTTGTTTCACTGTAGCAAGGATTTAACTGAACATTTCAGCTCCATGAGAATGCTAAGGAAAACATGTTTTTAAATCCCAGCTGTCAGAGCACACTTGACCCCTGCAAGGTGACACTTCTGTGTTGAGGCCCTGTTCATGTTCTTTCAAGGTGTTAGCTGCATGCTTCACGCAGAGCAGTCAGACTGCTCCACAAGGTGACTTCCCTGCTGGCAACAACAAGCCATTACTCTTCACAACCACTTTAGGAGTCACATTTCAGACCACATGACTACCAGGAAGATCTCTGCTTTAAAAGCCACAGTGACCACAAATGCTTAGAGCAGTCAATGCCTCCCTCGACCCCTCAACTCACCTTTTTGGCAACTGATCCTTCACCCAGGACACAGTTCCTCTCTGGACATTCACAGGTGATTTTTGCAGGTTCCACTTTGTCTGGGAACACGTAGAGGCACCTTTCCCCAAGCTGCCTTTGGGCATGGTCAAAGCAGCCCAGACGCTTTACCCTGGCAGAAGAGGAGAACTGTGAGCACAGAACAGTAACAGAACCCAGCAGTGCCCAGGGCCTTGACAAGGCTGGCATGGCCTCCCACCAACAGTGCTGATGCAGGGGGGGCAGAGCACCACACTAAATCATTTCCAGGCACACAATTCTAAAGGAGAAGTGGGAATCTCACCAGGGACTGGGTGGGGATACAAAGGGCTTGGGTGGGACAAAAGTCACTCCTCTCCCTGTAGCTCCCCTCCTCCTCTCAGAGAGAGCTGCCAAGAGACATCTGGGGTTTTTTGCTGTAATTTGAGATTTGCTCCCCTCCAGCACAGGAGCTCCAGGCAGGACCCACACTGACAGTGCTGCTGCTCATCTGACTTGTCTTTTGAGCTTTCCCAGCCCATTCCAGCAGCTGCAGCCTGCAGAGGGCACCAGTTACTGTCTGAGCACCAGCCCGGGCTGCAGCCGCACCCCTGAGCTCCACCCCTGACACACACGGAGCTGCAGCCTGCTCCAGGCAGGAGTTGGAGGACAAGAGAAGAAGGAAGCTGCTGCCACATACCACTCTGTGCACCTGCCAGCTGGAGAGAACTTGGCATTACAGGATGCTTGCCCTCAAGTGTCTGCTAAACTAGTTTGGAAGTTGCTCTCGTATTTTTAAAGCTCTGGGATATGCAGGCATGCAACATGAAAAAAAAATCCTGCTGGAAACAGAAGCATTGTATCCCTTCACCTGGTAGGCCTGCCACCCACAGTCTGCAGGGCCTGAGTGCTGGGAGTGAAAAGGGGTTTTCAAGGGATCTCACCTGGACAGCTTATCCTGGCTGATTATTGAGGGAGGAGGGCTCACACTGTCAGTACCTCCAGGACAGAAGCTTTTAGTGATCCAAGTAACCTTTAGTTCTACCACCTGTACCTATAATGTAGAGATAGAATTGGCAATTACACATTTCAGAGACTTTCCCAGAGACTTCCCATATCTCAGATCTCAAAGTTTACATACAGTAAAGTGGCAAACCTGCTTTTATCATTTAATATGGGCAAGTGAAGTTTCACCACATCCAGGACAATCACAGTGCCCCCAGAACCTGATCCCTGAAAACAGAGATTCTACAGCTTTTAACATCAAGGAAAGACAAGTGGCTTGGGAAGGAAGCTATGTACATGTAAATCAGCAGTTCAATGTCACAAAGAGATATGCTAATGGACTTGGAGCTGCTCCTTCTTTAAGCAAAGAATCAGCAATATTTCTCCCTTTTTGGACAGCATGCAACATTAAGTTTCAATAGAAGATGTGCTCCTACTGCCCTAATGATCAGCAGCACTGCCCTCTGAGTGTGCTGACACATGATCACTTTACAGGGTGCCAGCAGGGACCCTTGCTAGGATGCTCAAAAGTCCTGCCAGTCCCCAGTGAGAAATTTGTCACTTCAGAACACCACAGCCACAGCACATTTGCTCTTGGGAGGTTACCATGGCAAGCTGACTCTGATCCAAACAGCCAGCCAGGGACCAAGCAAGGCAGAAGGTGGCCATGTGTCAGGGTGTCAGTCCTTACCTCTTCCACCACCACTCTGAACTTGCTCTTTGTGCTCAGAACAGGCTTCACACCTGAGAGCCACTGCACACTGGAGAACACTTTAGATGGCCCAATGAGGACTTGTCCAGGATAAAAGCCGTATGAATCATCAAAGAAGAGACCCTGTGGGAGAAATAGAGGGGAGAAAAACAGCATAAAGGACTCTAAGATTTAATATTCCAGTATTTCCCTTCCCCCTTTTGTGATCAGCAAAATTAACTACAAAGGTAAAGTCTGCAAGATGCTCATCTCCTGTATCTCATCCTCTCCTGAAGGCAACCCAACAGTTCCTATAGCAACCTGCTCTGTCACACATCCAAACAGGACCAGGACTTAGTGCAGGAGAAGCAAAGGTACTTGCAAGAAACTAAAGATGCATATTTCCACACAGAGGTTCTCAGTAACAAGGTAGCCAAGGTCAGCAGGGCAAGGACATCTTTTCCATGCTCTTATTCAAGCACCTATATCTTTCAGAGGGAAAGAATGTATGCCTCCACTCCTCTGCTTGTCAAATTAAGTGTGTAAATACTATTCTTGTCTCAGGTGGATTAGTTAATATGACAGTTCTTTGAAAACAAAAACAGGACAGTAAACACAACAATTGCTTTCCTAGAGCTCCTTCCCACTGATACTGAGATTCAGAGTGTGGGGGCGGACAGAGCAGTTTAGGGTAGATAAAATACTGAGTACAAAACTCCATCGAGCCTTGTAATTTGTCAGAAGGGATAAGAGCAGTGTGACAAGATCTAAGTCAGGTAACCATCTAACGCACAGCAATTCTGAGCACAGGATCAAGAGTAACACTGGAGACAGCCTGTGATTCCCCTGAGAACTCTGTACACTCTAAAGGCAGCCTGACTCAAAACAAGCCATCTCACAATTGGGTAACCAGAAGCTAAATGTTGCTACAACATCCATTTAGTGAGCAGAAAACACACTGCACAACCCAAAGTAGCAGAGACTGAGGTATTGGAGAATATCGAGTGACAGACCACTCCTTTTCTGTACAGAACCAGAAAACCACAGCAGCACATCCTATTGAACTGATGTCCCATTTACTCTTCAACAAGCTGGCATCAAGTTTTAGCAGAAGTGCAGTTTTAGATCAAAGGGACCTTTGCTTTCAAGGCTGGGAAGGATAAGAGCTCAGAGCTTTGCTAGTTCCTAAGAATCACACGTCATCCTCTGTCATCTCCCAACACTGCTGCCAGGAGTGCAGCAAGGCCCTTTGGAAGAACAAGCAAGCTGTCATCAGCCTTTGAAGGTGAGAGAGGTTAGATCCCATCACACAGCAAACTGTTTTACCCAAAAGCAAGCAAAACCTTCCCTGCCACGTGATTTGGAAAATGCCAGTGTGGTGGCAGGTCTCTGTTCAAAAAACACCATGGACTGCAGTAACAAGAGACATTATCTTATATGACCTGAAAACCTGCTTCTAGCAGAACACCTGTTAAACAAAACCCCTTTTTCCAGAAGAGGAACAGTTTGTAAAAGCAGTAAATGGAGTAAGAGCCTTCAGAAGCAGGTGCAGAGAGAAGGAGCAGTGAGTGAACTGCTTTGACACCAGCCATCTGACAGTGTGTTACACAAGTTATTTACAAAGAAACCAATTGGATGTATCAATTGTAATACCTCCTCAAACCCTGCTCATGACTAACATAACCTTTAAACTGTTACTGTAATTGATACATTCTTGGGATTAATAAATGCCTATGAATTTTGCCTTCTGCCTCCCTCCTGCACAAAAAGTTTCCAAGACAAAGTTGACCAAAAGGACTCTCAGGAGAGCCAACAGCTCACCGAGTCACTGACGTGGGGACAAACATCATACAGCTTGGCTCCATCTTCTGTGCTCATGGAACACCTGGAAAGCAGACAGGAGACACAGGGTCACATCTCCAGAGCCATCCACCCCAAAAGCAAACAGCACCCAAGGAACTGACACAGCCTGAGCACGTCTGGCCATGCACCCAGCAGTGTATCACTGAGCTTTTATGGGCCAAAGAAAAGCTGGTTATAGACAAAGTGTAAAAGCATTAAAGGTATCTAGAGGTCACATTCAACATGTAAAAAACCAAGCTAAATAACAGGCTGGGTGCTGGATGAGATCTCTCTGCTGCAGAGGTCCCTTTTGTTACTCACACCATGCTGGGACCTAAAGGCAATTAGGGCATATTTCCTTCAGTAATAGCTTAATTTTCAGAGTAAGTTCTGGTGGCATTTCAAATGATTCATTAGGAAGAGGTTTTGCAAGCAGTATCTCACTTTACACATATGTGCAGGAGCTGGTACAAGATTCCAAGCAAAGTTATAAATTGCACCAATAACTGCAGGCATTACAGACAGATGTGTGGCTATTTTTCACTCCTAGTTCACCATAGACCTAAGAACCTTCCAGCCTGGGTTAACTGCACAGCAACAGAGTCAAACTCTCAGATGCATCCACAAATCATCTGCTACAGCTCCCACATTACTCACTTCTCTCAGACTCAGAGCTGGCTGCAGGATTGGGGATTTGATTGTTGTGTTTTAACCAATGTCAACACTCAATTTACAAGACAGATGGGTTATTCCCCAGCTGCCAGGCCTATAAGCCTCTTGGCTCTCCACTGGATCCTTCCTTCCCTTGTATCAAGAGTTTGTTGGGATAAGAAAGCCTCAGTAACAGAGACTGTAGTGAATCCATAAGGGTTAGTAAGTCACTGTTAGCAAGAGGAACAGAATTCAGATCCTTTTGCTGGCTTTGCAGAAATTTCACCACATACTTCTTTCAATATCTCTGGTGAAATTTTTCTCTAGACTTTGGATTGTGTTTTTATTTATAAAAAACTCAGTGAAAAAGAAAGCTGTTTCTATGTTGGGTTGCTTTTTCATCTTTGATAAAGACCACAGGCCTGCAAATTTCCATAATTTCACAGACCCTTTTTTAAGGCAAGAATTCTCCCTGCATCTCAGTGAAGTTATGCTCTCCTACAAGAAATAGTCTGGAACAACCACCCATCTTAAACAGCTACTTTTGCAGAGGACAAGCACAGTTTAAAGACCAATGTGCTTTAGTTCTGGAGCACTGATCTGCTTGGATTGAAAAAAATTGTCACCTTTCAGACTACAGCTTTTCCAGAGGGATGTCAATGAGTCTCAGTGTTTTCAGAGAAAGAAGTATTCTCTTGCTCTACATCTGAAGATCATGCAAGCATAGAACTTATCATTATGTAAATGAAGCCCAAACTGTTTCTTGCTCTTTTAAAACAGATCAGGATTGTGAAAACCACGGGGGACAGTTTTCCACAGGAAGAAGAGAAGTACCTGGCTCCATTTGAGAGCTTGAGGATGACCTGGTTCTTCAAGTCATAGACCTTGCCCAGCCAGCAGTCATAGGCTATGTAGTCACCATACATGAAAGGCTGTGATGAAAACAGGAAACAAAACTTTTGAAGTAATTGCTGCAGCTGGAGCCAATTTTTATCACTAAGACTAATTTTTCATCCCAGAGGAGCTCATATCCTACTGTCTTCCCTCAGGCTGTGACTTGGGACGAGTTATGACATTTCTGCTCCTCACTCCCAAATTATCTTTATCTCAGAGGGAAAACAACAATGAAATCCTACCCCACCTGGTCTCTGGAAACCAACTATCCACTCAAAGAGAGAAACAGATTTGTTTGAGACTGTTCCAGCTCAACAGAAACATGCTTGACTCATCTCAGCATTTTTGTAGCCTGTTTCAACAGCAGTGGTGTCACAGCTCAGCAGCTCTGGGCCACGGTCATGGGCTGCCCTGGTCAGGCTGCCACACCAGCTTTCCACACTCGGTGCAGGAGTTCTCACATAATTTAATGTCAGTCTAGCTCTTCAAGAAAATTTGGTCTCAGCAATGTGATAAGAAACACATAACAGATGGGGAGATGAGGAGATGCTGCATCATCTTCTGCTAGGGAGGTTTTTAAAATAAAACCAAACTGCAGATGCCTCTTGCACAACATGGATGCTTCGCCTTCAAGAGAAACTTGAAGTACAGCAGCATCCCTCCACACCACCAGGCCCTGGCTCCCACGTGTGTTTTGGCTGTGTTCTCACCCAGATATGCTGCAGGTCTTTGCTGTTGACAGGGTAAAGGATGCAGTTGGTTCCCACCAGCTTCACAGCACACTCGATGTTGACGTCAATTACGGTTCCACACTGACTGTCCTGAAAACACAAATGGGAAAAAAGGCTTGTTACCTAGGGAAGGTCCTACATACAAATGTCTGTGTTTTGTGTACAAGTCCTAAGTTCAGAGACAACTAAACCTCAACACTAAACCCCCTCTTACCCTTCAGGTCCTTGTTCTGCAGGAGCATTTCATACAACACTATGAGAGCTCAGAAGGTGAGATCACTATTACAGACCTGTAGTGTTTTCTTCCCAGGTAGAATCTGAAATAGATGCTAAAGCAGAGACTCCTACACCTGGTCAAATAAGACCATACTATCTCAGGTGATTAGTATTTACTTGCTTTAAAATCTGCTTTGCTCCCAGCTCCACAAGACCATCATGCAGGTACTGCCTTGAGTCAGCAAAGGCAGGGATAGATCAGCAACAAAACAGAAATTCTTTAAAGCTGTTGTGACTTTAACTCACAATTTTGAAGGACATTATAAATAGTCTTTATTTTGTGTCATACTGAAAAAAAAAATCTGGCACCTGTGGTCAAATTTCAAGGTTTGCAGCCAGATAATTCACAGTTGGTCTAATTATAAGATGGTCTGTCATTATCTCCCTCACTTTTTAACAAAGTTTTAATCTTTTTTGTCCCCAAGAAAAGAAGGCATGCTGTCAGGAGCCTTCTGGGGGCAGCTTGGCAGGGAGCACACAATGTGCATGTTGCTCACACATATGGTGGGGGCCTGCAAGGAAGGGCTGCTAACCCAAACACTGTCAAAGGCAGCAGCTGCCCTGGCCTTCTGACAGCTGGGACAATCGATAGTCTTATTTATTAAAGACCACAAGTCCATTATCAAAGCTGACTGAGGGCCAGCATGACAAATGCCCTGGTATGAGCTGTCCTTATCTCAAACATCAAGGTCTCTGCTCCAGCAGGACTTGAGCACAACACTCAAAAGGCTTATACCCTGCAAGAAGTGGATTTGTTTGCTCAGTTCTGTTCTTTCAATCACAGGAAATGTTTAGTCAAGGCTTTCACTCAGCGCCCTGGGCAGCCCTTGTGGGAGTTCAGGAGTTTGTTGGTGCTCAACTGAGCAGTTTCATCTTGAGGACTGGCAGTTGGAGCAAAGACAGTCCAGGGTAATTCCCGGACAGACTGCTCAGCCCTTCTGGCTGGTTTGCTTTCCACCTGCCTGCTGCTAGTTCTCTCCTCACCCCACACCAGCCCAGTGCCCTGCAGCCCCGAGGCTCCCAAGGCAATGGGATCAGCAGAGTGGGGCCTGCCCCAGCACAGCCAGGAGGACTGGGAGAGCCAGGCTGGCAGACCCCAAAGCAGCAGGGGCTCATTCCCTCCAGCTGCTCCACATATCACTCCCATGCCTTTCCAGAAGGGCTGGGAAGCAAAGGGAGCCTTTCCCAGCTTCAGCTCCATCACAACAGACTGCAGCTAAGCTTGTTGCCTGCACAGGCTGCCAGCAAAGAGCCCAATAGAGCTGTACCATCACTCTCACCTGAAAAGGGTTGGCCAGAACTACTTTGGCTTCACAACAGCTACTGCCAGCACGATTTGAGCCGTGGGATGAGTGAGGACTGCTCAGAAGTGGCACCTGCTCAACAAACCCACAGCTTCTGCAGGCTACAGCACAGCCACCTGCCCTGCTTTTCCTCCAGAGTCAGCTAAAACAAGTATACCCACACCATCCTCTGGCTGTGCTTTGCAGTTCAGGCCCTGTGTTTTATACTGTTAGTCAGAACCAAAAACCCCTCCAGAAATAAATTCCTTGCCCTACACTGTGCATTTCAAAGTTAATTTTTTTTCCTTTATCAGCAGCCAACACGACAGCAGCTCTGAGACATGATACAATCCAACACCTGTGATTTTTGTGGATCATATTGTCTCCTGGTCTGAAATCCCTTTAATGGATGGTGAAAGTACAGCAAGCAATAAAACCAGGACTGGAGTGACTGATGTGCTCCAGCACCCTTCAGCCTGTTCCCTAAGTGAGTTTCCCCATGGAAAAGGCGCCTGCACCACCCTAAAGGTGCCTCCTACCTAACACAGCTATTAGTCATGGCCAAGAGCAACAGGTTTAGCTCAGCTTGCTTCTCCTTCCAGTTATAAAATGCTTGAGCACGTGCAGAGCCCTGTCTGTGGTTAAGAATGCAGAGATCAATGTTGTGATCCAGCCCCAGGACCTACTGTCCTGTCAAACTCAGTTCTCCTCCCCCACCTGCCACTGAACCTTCCTTTATTATGAGTTTGTTTATTTCCCTGTCACATGAAACATCAGCCTGTGACAGAGGATGCAGATTTGCAGGCTGAGAGGTTCTGCTGAATCACTCTGACTTTATAGCTGTGCTCAGAAAGAGACATTGCCAACTTGTCTCATCTTCCAGGGCAGGCCCTCAGCTGGGCACAGCTCAAACACACCCATCCTTTCATTAGCTGATCCCATTAAAGGAGGGGCCAAATGAAAGCTGACATTTCACAGCTCTGTTACAAAAATCCATTTCCATCAATTCCAACAGCAGAACTGGAAAAGGGAGGTGACTGAACTGAGTGAGGAGAGCTGATGGGTTCAAGCCTCACTCACTCCACAATTGAGTGCACTCCCTAGACCTTGTTCCTGCTGCTTCTGGTACCCTGACATCATGCACCACATTGGAGATACTGAATATTTAAGCAGTGAATGGATTCCTCCCCCATCACAGACAAGGCTTTAAGGCAGACCAGCAAATTCCCATCTAAGAGCTCAGCAGCTCTGGAAACACAGCCATCAATCCCCTGTCTTCCACCTCCCATCCTTCTACTCTTTCCCTCAGCACTCTCTTTTCTAATAAGAGGATCTTCACACCACCCTTATTCCTTTGTTTAAAAGGAACAGCATAGCCCAGAATCCTTTGAAGCAACAAAATCCAGGTGTCTCACAGATTACAGACCTACCTCTTACCTTTTCCCCAAATTAGCATATCACCTGGAAAAATTCCCTCTGCCACTTCTGCTTCTCATCCAGCTGGATTAGACTTTCAGGCCCAACTGCACTCAGTGAAAACGATCTCATTTTATGCATTTCCCCCTGAAGTAGTCTTTTCCCACACTCAGTGCTCAATGAGAAGCACATGGATTTTGAGTCAGCTCTCCTCTCTTGAGGAACAGAGGATTTCAAGTCCTTCTGGCTCAAGGTTAAAAACAAGCCCTAAGAGAGTGTGTTGAATACAGAATAAGTTCCACATTCTCCATTTGCCAGGCCAACTGGCGCAGGGCAACCATCCCACATCCTGAATTTGGCAGGCTGACACTTGCAGGTTTTCTATTTTAAATGTTCCTGTAAATTTTGGAATATATCTGTTAGCAAGTGAAGGTTTTCTTTGGGATAAAGAGGGTTTTTTGTTTAATTGTTTATTGTTTGATTTACCCCCACTAACATTTAGAAACATTTGAGGGTGAGGACATGCAAGTCATCCTCAGATTTTTTGTTATACACTTTTCAATAGAAAGAAGAAATTGAGTTATAATCTCACCATTCCATCAATTAAAAAAATGAAGTCACTGGGCATAAGGGTCAAGCAAATACCATTATTAAACATGCAAACCAATAAAAATGAATGTACAAGACAACTGCTGGGTACATATCTACCAAAGCATGTGCAGCAAGCCAGGGGAGCCAATTTCTGCTCAAATGAGAATGGAAATTGCAAACAAAAGCAGCACATCCATGTTTGCCAAGAGGAGAACAACCTGCTGTCCTGAAAGCTTAAAATGACTTTAAGAAGCACTGGATAACAAACAGTTGAGAGACAAGACTCAAAGCATCCCCCTGAGTGAGAAGAACATTCTGACAGCTCCAGCTGTGCCAGGTACAACACTGTTACAGCCTATAATTCCAGTTTCTACCTGTTCATTGTTTTGTATGAGAATTCTTCCATAAAGCTGCAGTTTTAGAAAAATATGTTGACTTTAAATTTCCACTTCAAACAACCATTAAATTTCTTAAGGAAATACTTTGCTTCAGCAATTTTCAAATTATTATTCAGGCTTCTCATTCCTTTTTTCTTTGTAATATTCTGTGAAAAAGGGGGTGGGTTAACTTTAATTAATTGACAAAAAAGGCTTTATTTAAAAATAAGAAAAACCCAAACAAGCCAGACAGGTCAGAGAATAGCCCTCTCTATCCTGCACCAGGCTGCACACCATGTGGTGCAACTGCAGCAGTTAGTGGCCAGCTGCTTCCTTCATCACAGCCTTGGTAGCCACATTGCTGGAAGCAAGTCAAGAGAAGATGGAGGCAAACACATGGCAGGGCCATATGGCTCAGGGTTAGAGGTTAGCTCTGAGCCACAGCAAGAAATTGCCAACCTTGCTGAGCTCCTAAAGAGTGCACATCCCATCTGATCATTGATACTCAACAATCTCCCCAGTAGTCCCTACACAAAACCCAATCCACACATCTCTGATAGGTACAAGTGCCATACAACTGCAACAGAGGGGCTGGGACATAGAACAACATCCAGAAAGAGCAAAGGGAACAATTATCAGCTGCTGCTGAGGAACCAGCTTGCTTTCTGTCAACCTAGCTGTGTTGGATGCTCCAGCAGTGTTGGGTTTGCTGCATTTCTGGGAGAAGCTGGAAAAGATATTGTTTACCGTAGATTGAGAGGTGTGTCTGAAAATATTCTCTCCAAATTCTCTACCAGAGCACACAAAGAGGCAAAGACAAGCTGTGGAACTGGGATCTGCCTCACTCCAACCTCCCTGTTAGGTCTGGGAGAGCAGGTCCACAGCCCCTACATCTCAGAATGGATTAATGTAAAACTTTAATAAGGTAGGGTAGACAGGCTTCTTGTCTCCTTCCCTGACCATGCCCAGGATTGCTTGCTCAGGAGACCTTTGCAGATATGCAACTGTACAGAGGCAGCTTTAGGAGAATTGCATTTTCACTGGAGAGAGCTAAGTCTATCCAACACTAAAAACAGAACAACCTCAAAGCATTACTGTACAGATCCATTCAGGCAATTTGGCAAGTCCTAGAAATCCATGCAGCAGTATCACAATCAAAAAGGGACAAAGGAAAAAAAGCACTTACGCTGGAGCTCATGTGTCTGACCACATCTCGAGGGACCACTGAGCGATCTTCAAGTTTCAGCTAAGGAGAGAGAGAGAAAGACTGGCTTTAGTGATGACCCCAGATGATACTCAGTAGAAATAACATGACAAATACAAATGCACAGTATCCCAATCCTCCAGACTGAGGAGGATTGCAGTGAAGAACGCTGAAGCACTTCCACACACAGAGTTAATCCCCTTGGCACAGTTGCAAAATCCAGTTGACAGATCTGACATCAGCAACCAGGAGATCCATCCATGACTGTGCTCTAAGTCAGCAGACACATCAAAAAGGGTGCAGACATTGACTCATTCATCCCCTCAAGTCTCCCTCTCCTCTTTCTCTGCCTGCACCACGCATCATTTCCTACCCACATCCAGTCTATGTAGTAGAGAAGACAGAAGACACACGAAAGCAGCACATCACGACACAGCTCTGTCTCATCCTGCACGCTTTTCACCCAAGATACTCCCAAATATCCATGGAAAGCCTGTTTGGCTTGGGACACAAAGCAAGGTCCTGTACAGTAAAAAGTCTTGGCTGGCAAGAGAATAGGTGACAAATCCACTGCAGCAAGCACTTGTTTTGGAAAAAAAAAGGAAAAGAAATGGCTGTTTCTGCACATAGAAGCTCTCAGGTACAAGCAGGTATCAAAACATCAATAAGCCCATGGATACAGTCAAAGCACTGCTGACTCCAGCTCCTGCTGAAGCACTTGAGGGCAAAGAGCTCGTTCTGGCAATAAAGGATGTGGTTGGACCATCCTTATGTACCCTACAGCAGCTCCCACAGACCTGTGGGCAACCAGGAGTGCTCCTGGAAAGGGAATGGATCACTTGATGAATCTCCACTGATTAACCAAGTGATGTCCTTCCAAAAGTGGCCCTTCACCCAGCTGTTTCACTGACCTCACAACTACCTGCAGGCACTTTCATTAAGTGTTTTCAACAAGCTTAAAACTACAAAATGCTGCTGCCATCGAATACACTGGAATGCCACACAAGGGATGATGTCCTACGAGAGGCCACAAGACTGAACTCCAATTTCAGGCTTGCTCAGCCTCCCAGTAACTCAGCTAAAATCTCCCTCTGCTGAACACAGAGAAGCCTCATCTGCATTTCAGTGCTCCAGAAGTTATTTGCATTGGTACATCACTGAGCCCTGCTAACAAACTAATTACACACTGTGTGCCCTGGGAAGTGCCACATGAATGCACCATCAGGGACAGAGCCTCTCCCACATGTCACTTTCAGAACCAGCCGTGTCACTGCTGCTGCATTCCTGGCTTCTCCTTGTTCATCCCAGCCTGAACTCCACCGTGCTCTGTCAGCATTTCATCCTAACCCACTCCCTGGCTTACAGCCTGCTTTACTAAACTAGGCAAATCTATAATTTGAGAACAGGATCTGGAATCAAGCCAAAGGACCTGAGTATTTATCATCTTCTTGACCGTGTGTTTCAGCAAGAGGGGAAGAGACCCAGTCAAGCAGGCTTTCAGACCCAACTTCTGGAGTCAGAACCACACTGGAGTGGGAAACCTGAAGCCCACAGCACATTTCCAGATTGTAGAAGTGTTTTCACTGCCTCCCACATCCCACTGTGGTATATAGATAGACATCAATTTTTATACAGCTTTCTAAAATTATTTGTTAAAGTAAGTACTGTATAGGCAGCCTTTTAAAATCCAGAATCGGGCTGCAACATTTACATTCCAGTAAGTACTCAAGCATGAGCAGCAGTTTGGGTACTGTAACTGAAGTATTCTCACTGCACAGCTCCAAGTGTATGATGATACTTTCATTTCAAAATGCATTAGGGCTTAAATTGATGCATTACATCACTCAGCCATACTGTTCCCTATGATGCAGCCTCTGAAGAACCCAGATCATCAAGATGATTTGATGTTACCCAGCAGCAGCATCTTTGGGTTAGTCAATGCTGGTAAATCACAGAAGCTGTCAATCAGCAGCATTCCCATTTTGTCATCCTTCCTCAAGAATATAATCATACCAATTCTTCCCAAAGCAAAGCACAAAACTTCCTCTACAAGGGGACTATATTTAACCTATTTTCAGGTCTCTTGGCTTTTAAAGGCAGCACTATTTTCAGCTTCATGTGCCAGACTCACCTGTCTCAGTGGCAAGAAAAAGCAAGCCAAGGAGCAGGCTGAATGCCAGCATCAACAATAAATACTTCACAGGTCTGTCATGTCACAAAAGACTCAAAACCCACAAGAAACCCAACCAGAGTGAGCTGGAATGGCTGCTGATGAACACAACAGTTCAGCGATTCCTCCTGTCCTCTGTCACACCCAGAGCAATGTGATGGACAGCCCCCTCCCTCAGCACTGAGGGAATTCTGTTGCAGAAGCACTTTTAAAATAGGTCCTCACTGTTGCTATATTTACCTCTATGAAAGTCAGTATTAACATGGCTGGGTTTATGTTCTAGCCCATGTGCCTCAGTAATAGCCCCAAGAATGAGAAACAGCAGTTTCCCAGAGATGCTCTGAGGAATCCTATGCTCCTGTATGCCAAGCTGACCTCCCTCTTCAAATGCAAGATGGGTTTTGTGTTGCTTTTTAAAAAATAAATTCACTATTACAAATGTTATAAGGCAAAGCAAAGACATTCATCACTACACACACATTTTACCCTGGTGAAGAGGGATGACAAACCCAGCCTGGGGTCAGTTATGTTCCCTAGGGCCTTGACTGCAAAGAGAAGTGGCAGAGCAGCTCTGGCCCCCATTTATTTCCTTTGCTATTGAGATGCTCTTGGTGCTCAGCACTGAATCAGTGCCTGAGCTCCACAGCAAATTTACTCATCAAAAGGCAGCAGCTGCAATCTGGAGAACACCTGATACTTCAGCAGGACTGATGATGCTCTGAAACCACACACAGCAGGAGGAGTACACAAATTCTCATTTTCTGCATAGAGAACAAGCACCAACATGACCACATTCCCCTTCTCAGCTGAGTCATCTCACCTCACACAAAGTAAGGAAGCCATCAGGGCTCACACCTGGAACTGGACAGACTGGGAGAGGACATACACTTCTTCCATTGAACATCAGCTCATTAAGCCTTGGGAGCTTTCTGCTTTCATCCACTTGCCTAATTTTTTATTATAAACTTGTCATCTGAAACAAAATCTTTGTGGTTTGGGTTTTGTTTGTTTAAACTAACAGCAGAGGTTGAGAGAGACGTCTATGACAGAAAACTGAATTCCCACTTTAGCAAACAATTTGGCAGTGAGGTGCAAACATCCCCAGGCATGGGTGGGCTAAAATCCCAGTGCAACTCTGGGTTTAATCTCTCAACTCCCTTGAACAAATGCAAGATATGGTGCCATTTTTCCTCTCCAACAGCTCCCTGCTGACAAGAGCTCAAAACCAGAACAATTTACTTTGATGATCTGGACTAGCCACAAATGCCAAATATTGTGGCAAGTAAATAAACAACTTCAGTCACTTCTGAAGTTCAGTGGCAAATAATATGGGAGTTGCTGGGATTGATAAAGGGACAAGCAGCCCTGGGTGGTGTGAACCCAAACAAAACTGAGTACTGGAGATACTCAGTAGTGGCTTAAATCCCTGGCCTCTCTCTCTGCATAACTTAGACAGAGCTTAAATTCACTAATTACCAATTTAGGTTTGTTTGTAACATCACTGGTACCCAGCAGTGGACAAAACCACTCCCACACAGGCTCCAGCTACCGGTGTCACCATCCCTCAGAATGTTTTATCCAACAAAGGAGAAAGGAGAAACTCATTTGCACTTACTGCCAGCACATCCCTTCCTTTCCTATTCTCACACAGTTTCTTTTCTGCATGGGGCAGGAGCCTTGGTGTTTCACTTTAGGAGAAGCAGAAGATGGTAATTCTGCCTGCAATTGCAACGCCAACAGCATTTTGGTTTGCTACTGCCACATTGCACTCCAGGTAACCAATATTGTCACAGGATGCAAGGATGAAAAAACTGTCCCCTGCTCCAACCATCCCAAGAACAGAAGCTGGGGACAAGTTTAAACCCAGACAGGAGCCTGAATGCATCAGCACACAGTCCTTGGTTGTTTAGTCTCAAACAAGCCAGGACATACCCTCCTTCAGAGGGGCTGACTGCTGAGCTGTGTTGCAGGTTCATCCCACACTGGGACACCAGGAAGGACAGGAGACCCTGGCACTGAGACTCAGCACTCAGCTACACACAGATGTGGGAGTACACCTTCCACCAGGATCAGTCATGGCCTTACAGCTGCATTCCTGCTCAGCTGCCCAACAACAGAGAGCACCCTGGCTGTGGGAGAGGGCACCTGAGCAGTATAATGCCAGCTCCCTGTGTTTAAGTTCATGCTTGGCCAGTGCTGTCTCAGATTCTGGAGCAGCTGAGGGAGCTGGGGAGGCTCAGCCTTGAGAAAAGCAGGCTCAGGGGGATCTTCCTTCTCTGCAACTCCCTGACAGAAGCTGTAGCAAGGTGATGGTCAGGCTTTTCTCCCAAGTAACAAGACAAGAAGAAGCAGCCTCACATTGTGCCAGGAAAGCTTTAGACTGGATATTAGGAAAAATTTCTTCATCAAAAGGGCTGTAAAGCACTGGCACAGGCTGCCCAGGGAAGGGGCAGTCACCATCCCTGGAGGGATTTAAAAGACGTGCAGCTGTAACACCTGGGGCCATCATTTAGTGGTGGGTTTGGCAGGGGTGAGCTAATGGTTGAACTCAAAGGCTTTTTCCAACCTGAAGAACTGCAGTGTCTGACCAATAAAGAATGACATTTGCTCCAGGGTGATAGCGTGGTCCCACAGCCTCTCCCTCCAACGCAATCACTGTGGTGACAACATCACTTTCTATTCCAGACACATCCTGAATTTCACCCTCCAAAACAACAGCTCTGGAAATAAGCTCGTACAGATGGAGGAGAAAAGCAGCACACACACACTGTTATCTGCTTATAAAAATGAGAATACAAGGCATCACAAAAAAAAAAAAAAAAAAAAAAAAAAGGAGGAAAACACAGTGCTGGATATGAAACTCTGTATGTTG